TAAATTATAGAGGTAATCTGGGTGCAAATCATATAATGCAGGTTTTGTGTAAAGAGGCCTTTGAAAATCATTGATTTGAAGTTAACTTTAAACAGTCTAAATATTTTTGGTTTCATATCTCAGCACTAGGTTTAGAATAAAAATTCTTCACTTTCCTGATCAATCAACAAAAGTAAGTCATCAGTAACTGAAAAGGAAGTCTTTACTTGTACCTGCACATGTGTATGTATAAAGTTTTTAACCACAAACCATCCTCTTGGTTGCTGTATTTAAGTCAGTTTACTTTTCAACATTATAATAGATAGAGCTGCAACTTGCTTCAACTTGCAAGTTCTGCTTCACTGTTAACCTCATTTCTAATTTTTACTTTTTATATATATTTTTGGAAATATAGATGTGCCATTAGTAAAGGGCAGTTTTCTTCCATCTTTATTATGCCCCAATGATTTTTATCCAAATTGTATTAGAACTTCTCATCAGGATTTACATTTGCTTGTTTTTATTGTTTCAACTGTATATAATTAATTTGACTGTAGATTAGGTTTTTATGCAATCCTGTAAATAGGAAATGTTGTACTCTTTATACTATAAATAATATACATACTAATGTAGAGACTGTATATTTTGAATTGTGTGTGTGTTATTTTGACACAGTTTCATCATTAAGTCCTATTTATCAATAAGCTTATTGTCTATAAGGGCCATTTCTTAGGAATAAGATAGACGTGTTATAATCTTCTTAAGAAACCTATTCTTTTTAGTAATTGATCAACATAACTTCAGTTGAGTTACTGCAATTCTTGGCATACATTTCTGGACCTATAATCTATACCAACGTTTTAAACATTAAACTTAAAACTCAGGGGGAAAAAGGTTCTTCAACTTGAGATCTTCTCTCCAGATCTCCATTCTTTGGAGTTTCCATGTGTGTGACCTGAAGAACTTGGAACCATTGAAATTCAAATGTAGGTAGGTAAGTGTTCACACCAGCGCATGCGTTGATTGCCTTATATTTCTTTGTATATGCATCTGTATTGCACCCCCTCAGTGCCTTTCTTCCTCTTCCTCCCCATAGATCATGCAGGGCCTGTGTCATCTTGATATTATGTAATTTTGTAATTCTGTATTTTGGTCAGTATTTGTCTGTGTTGTGTGTCAGGAGCAATTTTTAAAAGTCTTCAGACATTTATGACATTGTGCTGTCTAAAGACTGTCTTTCACACATAAGTGTTTGCTGTGTATGGGCCTTGGTTGCATTTTTGTGAATTGTGTTTGTTGAGCTCTGACAACATTCCCTTGGAGTTGCTGGTATTCTTTGAAGGATGCAAAAAGTCTCAGTCTTGAATTATGTTACTTATTTTCTCAAATCTAGAGAATGTGAACTATTTCTGGTTCTAAGGATTTCTTCCAGTTAGTCTTTAATTTAAAAGTCATATTCCTGATACCATTCACAATAGCATGAGTGTCAGCTACTATCCTTTGAAGTCTATTCAAAGCTTTCTTTGGGCAATAAGAAAAAGTGATTCAACTTAATCATTTGCTTCCAGCAATAAGTACTAATATTAATTTATTCCACACAAACAGGACCTCTACTTAACCCTCAAAAAAACTATTTATTGATAACGTAGTAAGTTGTAACTGAAATAGGCAAACAGATCTAATCATGAAATATTTTCCTAGGCTTAAGTAGAATTTCTGCTCACATAAGCAAAATGAGATGTTAAGGTGCTTAATTAATGTTATTTTGCTCAAAATATCTGAGCATCACAATCTAGGATTCCTACTGTGCTTTTCATTTTCCATTTTTTCTGTTGTCACATCTGCCAAGCATATCATTGAATTTCAGAATCTCTTTTTCCATATTGTTTTTCCAATTCCTATAAAAATCAGGTAATCTGTTGGCAGTGGTTCTTAAACTTTTGATCTCAGAACTCTTTTAGACACTTAAAAATTACTAAAGATCTCAAAGAATTTTTGTTTATATATATGGGTTATATCTATCAATATTTACTATATTGGAAACAAAAGTGACAGTTTTTAAAATTATTTAGTATTGCATTTTACTATCTTAACCTACCATTATAGGTTAAGGTAAATAGCATGTTTTTATGAAAAATAACTTTAAAAATTTTTTTAACAATTGCTGAGAACAGCATTTATTTTACTGTGAATGTACGATGGTAAAGAATACAATGACTACTAATACAATTTGGTGCCACTGACTGCGTTCATTCTAATGCCCCAGCAGTTTTGCCCACTAATGTTTTTGTACCATCAGTGCAAATGTCAATACAGTGAAAAAGGCAAATCAAATCTTGGTATTTTTATGGAAGTAGTTTTGACCTGGTGATCTTCTGAAAGGGTTTTGGGGACTCCACTTTGAGAACCATGTTCTAGGATGCTTGCTTATCTCGAAATGAAAATTTGTACCAACCTGTTTAAGTTTTTTCCCTCTTCTGGGCCTTCATTATCAAAGGAGAATGACTTGCCTGTAATTGGTATGAACAGATTTTAGAGTTACTTGAGTATAATTTTTGTTTTAGTTACCATCATAGAAACGGATATAAAAGAAAGCACCCAAGTGGTCCAAAATGAGGTCTGTCCATTGGATGACTATATATTTTTCTCTTTACTTGTGTGTGGTATGTGTGTTGTATGTGAGTATACAATCAGTTTGGCTCCTGGGTAGCTTGAAAACACATTTTCATGAAGCAGTGTGATTTTCATGAATTATGGCAATTCACACCATATGCCATTGGGCTATGCTACTTTTTCTGCTGATCTACCACAATTTCAAATATTACTGCTTCAATTTGTATGCCACAGATTGTATGAAACTCTGTAATATTTCTTAACCTTTTGTCCCTCTTATCCCTGGAACCAAAATTCATAATATTGTAAAATTAGAGAGCATTAGAGATGCTAAGTTAAGAGAACATGAAGAATATCTAAGTGGCATTCTCCTGTTGAGTTATCTCCTTCACAAATTTTGTTATTCCTCTAATGTCCCTGGACTGTTGGATTTTTATAGTTTGGACCAATAGTACTGAGGGGGTGTGTGATGCTTACATATATGCAAACACATAGTGGAGTTTGACTCACTCAATGCATGCGCTAGTGCTCACGCTTACGTACCTGAAAATTAATGATTCAGTAGCTCTGCAGTATTTGAAGAGGTAGTCAAAATGAATAAATAAATAAAGTTAAAAATACTGCTAAAGAACAAGAATCTGCAGAGGTGGTCCAATAGTAAGGAACTCTATCTACTGGTAAGTAACCAAAATAATTTCTAATATGGAAAGCTTCTTGGTACACGATCTTTAAAAATACTATAACCACAATACAATATTCTGCCACTATAACACATAGGTATAATACTATAATAGATATAATATTATAGGTATAACAAGTAATTTGCCTGTAAGATAATATAAGTATTGTGAGTCATTCATTAATTACTAAATTGTAGAGTTAGAAAAAAATATTTAGCATCAAAAGCATAAAAACAAATCATTTAGTTGAATATGTTCTTTTATATCTATCTCCTTTTAGAACAGACTTCATAATTCCATTGCAAATTTTGAAATTGTTTTAGACTATTTGAACTCTAAATGTAAACTTAACTTTGTCTCAGGCCTTGTTTCCTATTCTTGTTATGGTAATAGGCCCCTTTCTAGTATAGATGGTCCCCACAGCGGAACCAGATAATATCCATAATTACTGTCAGTTTTCAGGGCTGATAAGCCTCTGTTGGCTGTCTCTTCATACTTCACTCTAAAAGCAGTAAAAATTAAGTACAGAGACCTCCGGGCAAGTAATCAGTTGGCATGTGAGACAGCTCAACCTTGCCTTTATGTTCTTTGCTGACGGTTAAGAACTAAGAAGAGTGACAAAGAGATTAGTACGCAAACTCCGTCAAGGGATGCATGCTAAGAGGAAAATGTGTTCTGTAAGAAACAGATTTTTAATCTTTAAATTCCAAGTAGGTAACTTAAAAGAATTTAGAAAATATTAACTTTAAAATGGCATATAATTTTTAAAAGGAAAAGAAAAAAATTTTGAAGGCATTCCTTTATCTTTAGATGAACCAGTTATTAACAGTAATAGTGTTTTGCATAGGCATGTGAGTGTTTGTCTTTCTTCTTAGCTTATTCTAAGAGACAGTACTTCTGGTTTTCATTTTGATTTATTTACCTTCAACTCTACTGCTATAGGTATTCTATTATCATTGTTCATGAAGAGCCATTGTGGAAATCCAAGGCATATTAAGTACTTTAAAACCAATTAGTTTCTTAGAAAATGAAGGCAAGCAATGATGACAAAGCCATATTGACCTCATTCTCTTTACCCCTAAGATGATTGTCACTGTTATTAAATAAAACTTTGAAAAGAAAAATATTTTAAGTAACCAGATTTTTTTTTTCCTTGTTAAAACTACTTTCCTTCCTAACAGTCATCAAAGAACACTCTGCTGCAAATAAACAATAACCTGTGTGTGTTACATACTTTTCATTCTTTATTATGGAGCAACTATTTTTAAGGGATTCTAAGATTTTTTTTGTCTTAATCTTTATTAAAATTGCTTTTTTTCTTATGCTTTTCATATACTCTGTGACTTCCTGTAATGCAAATGTTACTTTGTCTAACCTTTTAACTTAAAAACCAGTGGTAGTGTTTAATTATTTATACATTTTAAAACCCGCTCTGTAAAGATATAAGATCATGTTTTTTAAAAAAATTAGTGATTTGACATCTTATTTGAATTATTTTCATTTCTAAGTGTCTTTTAATCATTGAAAAGTTTTAAAATTCAACTCTTCTGAACTAATGTCTTAAACATTTTCGAGGCAGTTATATGAGTGGACTTAATCTTGCTTTACTCTAATTGAAGTAGTGTTGAGTTTGCAATAGAGAGAATAAGAGGTGTTTTCTTCTTACTAATGTCCATTTAATACATAAACATTCTTTTTGTGTTTTGTTGTTTTTTTTTTTTTTTGCAGATTCCCTTCAAGCTCAGCTTATCAACATGGGTGTTATCCCTACCTTAGTTAAATTACTGGGCATCCACTGCCAAAATGCAGCTCTCACAGAAATGTGTCTTGTTGCATTTGGCAATTTAGCAGAACTTGGTAAGTCCTAGCCATGAGTCAAAACTGTAATTAACCTATTAATGTACTTATAATAAATTTTCCTTTAGAGGTTAACCTGGCAATCTGTTTATATTAGTTTTTTTTTTTTTTTTGAAGCATTGTTAAAAAGTGTAGATCCAGTTACATCTTAGGATTGTATTGTTTATAATTGGAGCTAGTTTGCTTTCCTAATTGCTTTATGTATTAAGGTTTAAAGTTCATACTTGTATACTATTTAATGAAATTGAATATTTAAAATGATCTCCACTTGACTTTCGTATTCTTAACGTGATGGTCTTAAAATCAAGTATTGTATTTCCAGGGCAAAAATAAGGACCTCATAATTTATTATGTTTTGTATGAACTATTTGCTTATCAGGTGAAAAGGAATCTAGCAGACTAAGGTTCTTCCCTCTCTTTTTACAAAATCCAAAAAAATAATAGAGAACTTTTTCATCAGAATATGTTTGTAACAGAATTTGAAAAAAATATGAGAAATCCTTGAAAATCAGAAGGTGGGCAGAAACAGACCAGTGCTGGCAACACAGCCCAGCCCTAACAGAGGGAGGACTGATGACCCCAGCACCCCCATCTCTTTTCCCTGTTTTATTTTTCTCTGTATCATGTATATTACCCTTTCTTCTTTTCTCTCCTTCCTCCCCATAATTCTTGATAGAAAGTTACAACTCCTGGTCTAAATCTACCCCACAACCATGTTCATAATAAATTGTTCATCATGGGGACAGTGAAACCAAATGATGTTTCATCATAGCTAAAATAATAGCTATATCAAATGAGTAAAGCAATTCTATTAATATCCCCATTTTATAAATAAATAAACAGAAGCACCAGGACTCTAACCTTGGTTTTTCTAACTGAAAGCTCATCTCCTTGCACACTCACATTAAAATCTTGATTTCAGTACTTTACTTTTGCTTTGACTTCAAGTTAAGGGAATAGGGATTATTTATCAGAGTTAATTTTTAGAAGTCATTTTTATTCAGTGGGTCATCTCCTGGCATTCGTGAATGTTTCTTGTCTTCTCTTCTGCTTTTTTCTTTTTCATACTGTCTCATTATTTCCATCATTCAAGTAAGGCCAAGAATGAAACAACGTTCATTTACCGTTTTACAAGTTAGTTTCCATTATTAAAATGGAATGTAGGAGTTTGTGTTTAGTATACTTTGTAGAATTAAGACAAAGTATGTTATAATCCCTGATAATGTCATAACCTTTGTAACAGAGACAGACACCAGTTACTATGAGTTACCTGTGTTAAGGTGTCAGGATTTGTTTGGGAAATTGTATAGACCACCTCGATTCTGCATACAGGGAGACCTGGGTCTGTATTAAAAGATGGATATGCACCCAATTTAGTTTGGCCCAATTCCATACTCTGGTCCCAGCTGTTACTGCCCTTACCCCATATGGAGAAAGAAAGTATAAAAGAGAAATACTTCTTCATTTACTAAGACTTCTAGAGTATATATCATGAGTCTGTTACGCCCATGTAATAGCTACGTTATACATCAACACGGAAATAAAACATGTATGCCCAGGATACATGTTTTCTCTTTTCAGTGTGGGCTTTATTGCCCGTGAGTTAGCGAATCACCTAGTATTATTTTATGGACACAGGTAAAGATCAAGATCATATCACATTTATATCACACACTTCTGAGTATGGCATATCATTAAATGCTAGAGTTACTTTTTGTCCAAATTTCTTAATAAAAATGTTAAATAGCAGAAATTTGTGTGGTTTTGCTCACTAAAGATATAATATAAAGACAAAATATAAAATAATTAAACAATTGCAAACTATTTCATAATTGGGGGCCGAAAAGGAATGTGCAGCTCTATCTTTTTATTCTCTTTCAGTCCTAGTTTATGTGCACACATAATTTTTCTATATTCACAATTATAGCATTAATCCAATTTTAAAGTTTGCAGATTTATTTAACATTATAGATTAAGCAGAATGGGATTTTTTCCCCTTTTTATTTGGCTCCACAATCTTTTATAGATAAAATTGTCTGCTTAAAATATTAGTATTTGGGGGGTTAGAGATGTTAGAATGAAAATCTGCACTTACTTTCACTCTCTTCTGGAAACCAACTAAAACTACAATAGATTCTTTTTTAAATGCAAAACCATCAAGGAAAAGAAAGCGGGGTTGGTGGGGGGACCAAGTAAAGAGGTTAACACAGAAACTTTTTAGAGCCCGGAAAGAAAAGCAAGCAGTAACTCACTTAGCAGAACTCTGAAATCTAAATCCTGAATTGGAAAACCAAGAACTAACCAGTTTGCTCTTTGGAATCTTCAAAAAGTTTAGGATTTGGTGGCATCAAGATTTCTAAACCTTCTTTCCCTTCCCACACTGTGGTAACTAGCCCTTCCCATCTAAGCAGAAGACTGTGTTTACTCTCTGGAGAGACTAAAAATAGAGGGTTTGTACACTGGGGACATCAGACTAAATGAAGTAAGAGGTACCAGAGTACCATTCTGAACACAGTTAAGTGAAGGTAGGTATGCTTAATGGTCCCATTTGTCCTTTAGAACATGGACTTAAAGATGCTTACGTTGGAGTTTCTCTACAAAAGAGCCATCTGACCTACAGGGAATCTTCAGTCAACAAGGCCGCTCATAGATTGGCATTGACATATATACACTAATATGTATAAAATAGGTAACTAGGGCTTCCCTGGTGGCGCAGTGGTTGAGAGTCCACCTGCCAATGCAGGGGACACGGGTTCGTGCCCTGGTCCAGGAGGATCCCACACGCCGCGGAGCGGCTGGGCCCATGAGCCATGGCCTCTGAGCCTGCGCGTCCAGAGCCTGTGCTCCGCAGCGAGAGAGGCCACAACAGTGAGAGGCCCGCGTACTGCCAAAAAAAAATAAATAGGTAACTAATAAGAACCTGCTGTGTAATATATAAATTAAATAAATAAAATAAGGCCACTCCTACTCATAGATCCTAATCAGTTTTTAGATCCCAGTTAATCAGTGGCAGACAAGCAGAGAGGTGACGACAGCCTGTAAATGGAAGATAAATAAACAAAAAAAGGTAACTCGGAGGAAGTAGAAACTATGCAGGATGGGGGGGGGGATACTCAAACATGCTCAGAGAAGTGAGAAAAATGCTGCAATCATGAAACTAACAGGATGCTATTTTTAAAGAAAAGGAACAAATGAAAAAGCTAGAACATTAAAAACAATAGCTAAAATGAAAGCCAATAAAATGTATGGAGAAATATTTATAGATATAAAGCAAAAAACAAGGATATGGAAAGTAGAAGCGAAAATATAGATAGAGGATCAAACGAAGAGTTCTAGAAAGAGATAAATAGGAGGAAATGGCCAAATAACCCAAGTACCACAAAACTAAAGTATATATTTCTCCAGATTGGAAGAATCTGTCAAATGCCTAGCCTAGCACATGAAAATTAGGCCCCCAGACCATGGCACATCAATGTGAAGTTTTAGAATAATGGGGACAAAGAGAATCTTTTACAGATTTCCAGAGAGAGGGGAAAAAGTTACATAAAAAAGATGGTGAATCAGTAGACGTCAGATGTATCAAAACAACACTGATAACCAGAAGAAAATGGAATATTGTCTTCAAAAATTTGAGGAAAAATTATTTCCAATATAGAATTCTATATGCAAACCATCAGTCAAGTCTGAGGTTACAATAAGGACATTGTCAAACATGAATGTCTCAAAATTGGTGTCCTACATCTTTCCTGGAAGCCACTGGAAGATGTGTCCCACCAAAACAAGGGATATAAATAATAAGACTACATAGGAATCAGGAAACAAGAGATACAACAGGAAAATAGGAGTTCCTAGTATTATAGTGACATGAGAGCCCCAAATGGCCTATTTTCAGAGTAACCAGTCCAGATTGGGGAAATTCTTTACGAGATGAAATTGATTGAGCACCTAAAGTGAACGAGCTTATTAAGAGAAAACTAGACAACTGACAGAGTGTGGAGTTGAACTAATGTAAGTACATTGAAAACTAAGTAAATGAGAAAAAAAAATTTCCTGGGAAATAAAAGTAATTCCAGGGCAAATGAAATAGTGTATCATTGAAACACTAATTATTGAAATAACCAAAATTACAGTATAATTACAGTGAGAAGATGGAGGGTATTGTGGAGACAAGAAGAAAAGAAAGCTAGTGCTTCATCTTTCATAGTGGGAAGTCAATCAAAACTTAATATAAATACGTTATTTAAAGATTTGGAGGTAAATACCAGTGAATTAGCTAAAAGAGCTTTATGTGCTTATTTTTGAAGAAGAAATGGGCAAGGGGGACTCGATTCTGCCGGTAGTGTAAGTATTAGGACTAACTCTTTAAACTCATATATAATTTTGATTAAAAAAAAAGAAAACCCTTAGGAAATAAGCCTTCTTGCTAAAGGTCTGTTAAGGATCCATGGCATTTAATCCAAATATAATGTCCAAGTCATAATTCACACTATCTTTTCTCTGTATCCACCTGCAGGATAAGTACAGGTTGTTTTCATTAATTCCTATGTTAATCATAGTGCCTTGTTTCCTTGTGCTGGCGAATGACGTGAATTACTTAGCAGCAGTGATTTGGTTTCAGTTTAATAAGTAGAAGAATAAAATATGGATTGGAAAAAAGAGTGCTAGAACTATTATTTTTTGAAAAGAATAATAGCACATAACTAGATAAATGATCTCTATTTCACCTGTGATTTTATGTTTCATTTTATTTGAAGAATTGTCTGAAACAGAGGAGTAACCACCAGCGTTAAGGAGTTAAATCATTCCTATTTAAATCAAACTAACCTCCTTTTAGGGTAAGGTGGGCTGACGTTTGTAAACTATGATTTCTGAGGGTTTAGGTAGCCTATCAGAAAAGACACCTCACCCACACTCCTTTTTTTGTGGCACTAAGGAATCCTTACAAGTCTTGGAGTGGATTCTCATCATTTTGGCATAGATGTGGTACATGTGCCAAAAGCAGTGTAACAGTAGAGTGAATCAAAACTGTATTAAGCCGTATAAAATTTTATGTTTCTCCATTTTCTTTTAAAGTTGAATTTGTAATATTTTTTATTTGACATTGGCAGAGATTTACCAGAGACTAGAGAGCAGAATATCGCTCTTACATTCATTTACTTGTTCTTTCAGTCACACGTTCATGCAATCAATAAATTTCTTTTGAACACCTGCTCTCTACTGGGCACTATACTGTACACTGTATTTATGGTAGTTAAAATACTATACACTGTCCGTGCCCTCAAAGAACTTTAGTGGGTGAGATGGAAATTTATTTTTTAAATGAATTTACAAATAAATAAGCATATAATTTTAAATTATGATAATTGCTAGTATGAGAAAGTAATTGAACAGGGTAAGGAACTAATTTAAATGACAGGCATAGACTCTAGGTGGGACAGAGCATTTTCAGACAGTCAAAATTTCAAAATATTTATCTCCTATACACAGTACGTAGCAGCTTTCTCAGGAAGATGCTGGAGGATGCCTCCACCAAAACTAAAAATGTGAAGGTGAAAGGACATAGATAATAGAGTATCTGATACAGGAGGGAGAAGAAAGCATCCATCAAGGTGATGAAAAAGAAATTCCAGGATGTCAGCTGTGCCCCACAAACATGGAGAGCAACCAGTCTAGGTTGGATTTGAAAGAAACTTCTAGATAAATTGATAGGATATCTGATGCAGCAAAAGAAACTGAGAAGAGACTTGGAGAGAAATGGAATGGATTCTGGTTGTATTTTGGAGGTAGACTGATAGACCTTGGTTATTCTTTGGCTGTACAGTTGAGTGAGAACGAGTGAGCAGTGACCCCCAGGTTTCTGCCCGCATGGCAGATGGCTAGGTGGCATGTTCCTTCACTAGATTATGGAAGTCTGGAGGAAGAACAGATTTCAGGGGAGTATGAGAAGTCCACTTATACATGGAGTTTGGATGCTAGAGAGAGATTCAAATGGAGATGTCAAATGGCCAGTTAAATAAATAGCCTGGAGTCCAAAAGAGGGCTAGAGATATGATTATATAAGCATCAACATATAGGTGCTGTTTTATGCTATGGAAGAAGTTAGATTGCCTAGGGTGAGAGTAAGGCTCAAAAAGGTGAGAAGGCAAAGGATCAAGTCCCAAGGAACCACAACAGAATGTATAGAGGTCTGGTGCAGGAGGAGGAGCCAGCAAGGGAGACCGCAGAATGGAGAGGTGGGCCAAACTAGTCTGAGCTGGGTTTAGGAATGCATGTGAGTTGAGAAAGTAAAGACAGTGTATGTAGACAATGCTGTCAAGAAATTTGTTTGTGAAAGGGAACAGATGGGTTGGTAGTGAATAAAAGTGGTATAAAGGGAAGGTGTTTGTTTTTAATATTGCTATTTTTCTGTGAGAAATATTAAAGCACATTTAAACGGTGAGGATGAGGCTCTAGAGTGAGAGGCTGGAGATGGTGAAGAGGAAGAGGGAATGAGGAATTGGCCTTTGATAGCAAAACTTGTTAGGGGCTTCCCTGGTGGTGCAGTGGTTAAGAATCGAACTGCCAATGCATGGGACACAGGTTCAAGCCCTGGTCCGGGAAGATCCCACATGCTGCGGAGCAACTAAGCCCGTGCGCCACAACTACTGAGCCTGCGCTCTGAAGCCCACAAGCCACAACTGTTGAGCCCACGTGCCACAGCTACTGAAGCCTGCACGCCTAGAGCCCCTGCTCTGCAACAAGAGAAGACACTGCAATGAGAAGCCCACGCACCGTAACGAAGAGTAGCCCCCGCTCACCGCAACTAGAGAAAGCCGCGCGCAGCAAGGAAGACCCAAGGCAGCCAAAAATAAATTTTAAAAATAAATAAATTAGAAAGACATGTCAAGAAGAATGCAAAAGTATACCACTGTATTGGTGTAAAGACAAGTCACCTTTAATTCAGCCATGTAAAATGCAGTCTGTTATGAGTAATTTTTCTTCTTTGACTAAAAGCCTTGAAACTATGAATTTATAACAGTAATTTTACTGTTGCTATGATTACCTATATGTTATGCTAGTGAACATTTATTTTATAGCCTTGAATAAAATTGGGCCAGAACATTTTCTTTAAAGACTTAGATGTTTTTCCTCTTCAGGGGCATTTAAAAAAATGGTTTTGATTGTTCCTGTATTTGAAGAGTGTTTGCACTTATCAGTAATGGTAAAAAATGACCAAATATTGAAGGTAATAGAAAACAATTTCTGGGCTTAATTTTGTTTGCTTACTCTAAATTTTCCTCTTGTTTTTTGCAGAGTCAAGTAAAGAACAGTTTGCCAGTACAAACATTGCTGAAGAGCTGGTAAAACTCTTCAAGAAACAAATAGACCATGATAAGAGGGAAATGGTGTTTGAGGTTCTTGCTCCATTGGCAGAAAACGGTGAGAAAATAAATGCATCTCTTGATTTTTGATCATGTAGGCTTTTTCCATTTTTTTCTAATATTATTTAATGGCCAGCTATTTAACTCAAAATTCTTTTTTTTTTAATTTATGATGTGATAAGTTTTATTTTGGGTATCTCTAACTTCAGCTGCATTATCTACTGCATAACTATATCTACATTGGCCAAAGCTACTTTCCAAGTTTCTTTGATTTTATAATCTTGGCAAAGATGGTTCTGTAGCTTACACATTCTTATGCCAATCTGGAAAAGGCAGCCAGTAGGCTGAACTCCACTTATGTACCCTTGCAGGGCAAAAAGGTCATAAAAGTTGGAGTACCAGGCCTACCAACAGTGTGAACACTGGTAAACTATTCCTGTCTTTGAGCAAAAAATCTTAAGGGATACACTCTAGGAATAAGAGGGAACCAGAGTAAGGAAACCATCCCATATAAATAATTTTTCAAATACAGTGTCTAGCACACAATCAAAGAGGACCAGACACATGAGGAGACAAGACATTGTAAGCAAGAATCAGCACAAAGAACAGGAAACAGCAGCAAATCTCCAGATACTGGAATTATTAGACTTTGACTCAAAACAGGTATGCTTATTATGTTCAGAGAGTTAAAAACAAGCTTAAAATTTTTAGAAGGAAACTAGAAACTATAAAAAGTGGAATGAATAGCAGATTTGAAAAAGAAGCAATTGGAAATTCCTGAATTGAAAAATACAACCAAAATTAAGAACCTAATAGGGCTTCCCTGGTGCTGCAGTGGTTGAGAGTCCACCTGGGGACATGGGTTCATGCCCCGGTCCAGGAAGATCCCACATGCTGCGGAGCGGCTAGGCCCGTAAGCCATGGCCGCTGAGCCTGCGCGTCTGGAGCCTGTGCTCCGCAACGGGAGAGGCCACAACAGTGAGAGGCCCGTGTACCGCAAAAAAAAAAAAAAAAAAATTAAGAACCTAATAGTTGAGTTTAACAGCAGATTAAATATAGCTGAATTAGAGAACCAGTGAACTGGAAGATAGATTGGAAGAAAATCCAGAATGAAATATAGAGAAATAAAAGACCCAGTATACATAAGAGAGAATAAGAGGTACAGAGTATACAGTGAGAGGGTCTCATATACATTTTTTGGAGTCCCAGAAGGAGGGCAGATGGGAGGGCAGAAGTTTGAAGAAATTTTGTCAGAACCCTTACCAGAAATTATGAAAGATATCCAAGATTCCAGAAGCCCAATGAATTTAAAACATGATAAAAAGAAATACACATTTCGATACATCATATTGAAATTGCAAAAAAAAAAAAAGACTAAAGTTTTAAAAGTAGCCAGGAAAAATATAGATTACCTTAAAAGAGGCAAAAGTTTGACAGCTAACTTCTCGACAGTAGCAATGAAAGCCAGATGACAAACATCTCCTGTGTGCCAAAAGAAAATAAATTCAATCTAAAATTCTAGACCCAGTGAAAACACCCATCAAGACTGAAAGCAGAATGAAGATATTTTCAGGTTAGAAACTGCGGAAGTTCACCACCAATATACCCTTACTAAAGGAAATTATAAAGGATGTTTGTTAGAAAAAAGGAAAATGATTCCAAAAACAAAAGGAAACTGACTCCAGAAGGAAGGTTATAGGTACAAGGGAGGAGAAGGAAGCAAAATAACCCAGTAAATGTGTGTAAACTCATGAACATTGAATATATAAAATAATAAAAATAATTCACTGTGAAGTTTAAAATGTATATGTGTATAATCTAAAGTACACCACAGAATGAGTGTATAAATCTGGAGGGAGGTAAGAGTAGTTAAAGAGTCCCAAGACCCTTGTACTACATGGAGGAAAGTACTATTAGATTCTGGTGAATAAATGATTTCAAATTTTAAGGTGAACTAAAATAATTTTTAAAACCAATGTGTAACTACCAAACTAATGGAAGGATTTATGGAAAGATTTTTTTTGTTTTAATACCCCATCAATCCTAATTAACAGAAGAGCAGAGAGAAAAGGGAACATGGAACAGGGGGTAAAAATAGGGCAGAAAAAATCTGCTAGATTTATGACACAGTATTTCATTAATTACATTAAATGTATGTGGCCTGCATGCTTTAGTTAAAAGACTAATCGTTAACTGATTTTTAAAAAACCAGCTTTTTTTTTAAACAAGCAATGCTTCTTAAGTATGAGGAGATATAAAAGGTTGAGATTAAAAAGATTGGAAAAAATATACCATTGAAACCTAAAAAAGGCTGAGGTAGTCATATTAATATCAGATAAAAGAGACTTTAATATTAAAAGACTTGGTAGAGATAAAGAAGGTGACTTTATCATGATAAAAGGTCCAATTCCTGGAAGCTATAAAAATGTACATTATGTCAAAAGATATGAAGCAAAAATATTCAGAACTATGAGGTACCCTAAATATCCACAAAAATCATTATAGAACAAAAATTAAAAAATAGGAATATAGAAAATGTGGGCAACATGATTAAGAAAATTGATTTAATGGACGTATTTTGGAACACTGCACCCTGCTTCAGAGCCCTTTCTTTTCAAGTACATATGAAACATTTAAAACATGTATACTGATGGGAAAAATATCAAAGGATTGCAATCTTAGAGTATGTTCTCTGATCTAAGTGTATTACAATAGTAACTAATAATAAAAAGATAACTAGGAAATCCCCATTTGTTTAGATATTAAGAAATACACTTCAGATACCTTGGAGGTCAAAGAAGAATCATGAAGAAAATTAGAACATTTTTCTAATAATGAAAATGAGAACACTATCTCAAATCTTGTGTGTTGCAGGTAAAGCCATACTTAGAGGGATTTTTTTTTTCACTTTAAATGAATATAATAGAAAAGGAAAAAGCTAACATCAGTGAGCTCAGTATTAACCTCAGGAATTGAGAGAGGGAAAACATAAATGAAACCCAAAGAAATTACAATAGAAGGAAGGAAATACAGGAACTGAAATTAATAAAATAGAATATATGTAATGCAATATAAGCATATACTTGCCTATGTTGAGTCTGAAAAGACATCATAAAACTGGTAAATCCCTAGTAGGTTTAATCAGGAAAAAAAAAGAGAGAAAGCACAAATAACCAAAATCAAGAAAACAGAGATCTCACTACAGATCTTAAAGATATTCGGAGAATGTTATGAAAATTTGATGCCAATACATTTTCAAGTATGGGTGATATAGAATAGAAAAGCTGAGTAATCTTATCTTAATTTTTTTCCAGAATAGGAAAAGCAGATATACTCACCAATATATTTTGTGAAGCTAATAACTAATAAAATACCAACAAAGACAATACAAGAATAAAAATTAAAGACCAGTCTCACCATGAGCATAGGTCCAAAATTCCCATAAACTTTAGCAAACAAAATCCAATAATATATTTAAAAATTAATCATCATACCAAATTGGATTTATTCTAGAAATATAAAGTAGTTTAGTATTCCAAATGCAATCAATATAATTCATCACATTAAAACTTAATAAAGGAGAAAAAATCAAATGATCTTGTCATTTAGAAAAAGCATTTTAGAAGATTAACCATCCTTCCATGATTTTTAAAAACTCTTTGCAAACCATAACTAGAAGAGAATGAAAAGAATATATAAACAGAAGCCTATAGAAAGCATCATACTGAGTGGTATAACAAAAAGCATTTCCTTTTAAGATTGGGAATAGGAAAGGTCATCCCCATTTTTATTTCTTATTGTATTGTAGGAACTATCCAGTGCTGTAGAGTAAAAAAGAAAGAAAAGATATAGGAAAGAAAGAAATAAAACTATCATTATTCATAGATATGATTATGTATATCAAAAATATACTGGTGGTGCAGTGGTTGAGAGTCCACGTGCCGATGCAGGGGACACGGGTTCGTGCCCCAGTCCGGGAAGATCCCACATGCCACGGAGGGGCTGGGCCCGTGAGCCATGGCCGCTGAGCTTGTGCGTCCGGAGCCTGTGCTCCACAACGGGAGAGGCCGCAACAGTGAGAGGCCCACGTACCGCAAAAAAAAAAAAAAAAAAACATATATATATATAGATATAGATATAGATATAGATTAATTTTTAAAATTAGAATTTGGTTGGGTTGCCAGGCAAGACAAAGAAAAACATCTAAAAACCAAAGCATTGTATTTTTACATACCAGCAAAAACAGAAAATATATTTTTTAAAATGGCACTGTTTAAAAATGAAGTATAAATAAATAAATAAATACACTGTATAAAAAATGAAGTATTTAAGGGAATTCCCTGGCGGTCCAGTGGTTAGAACTCCTTGCTTCCACTGCCAGGGACCTGGGTTTGACCCTTAGTCACGGAACTAAGATCCTGCAAGCAGTGCGGTGTGGCGAAAAAAAAAAAAAAGGAATACTTAAGAATGGACTAATAAAAGATGTGTAATCTAAACAAGGTCTCTCTCTTTGTAGCCTTCTTCCTTAGCTCTTCCCCACCACTGTCTTCCTCAGGCACACCATTTACCAGAGGATTCGACTTTAATGCATGTAATAGATGTGTTTGTGTATGCTTATGTGAAATTGTATTGATATAGTTTCATGAATGTATCTGTTTATAATTTATACAAGTCACATTTTTCTATAAGTTTCCTTGTATTCTTAACTTTTGTTGCTCAACAATATGTTTTAAGAGTTATGCATAACATTCTGTTATATAAGCCTACTTCACTTTAATTATTTATTCTATTTATTCTTAGTTGTCAACAACCCTCATATCCAGCAAATACTGGATTTCATTGTTCATTTCTTCTTTGCTAGTTGTTTGAAAAGCAAGTGTTTCATTTGATTGAACTTACAAATGGAGAGATGACCCATAGTCATTATCCCAGACAGCATTCCAATTCTGCAGAAACCAATACTGACCCAGACAAAGAAATTATTGAAGCCATTGGGTAAAACACATAGATCTGTGTGCCATTTCTTTATGAAGATACCACATTTTGGATTTCTCTTTTTGTGAAATCTAGAGGTTGTGTTGCAATTTCAAGAAGAGGGTGGGACTGTATGAGACAATGACAGTCTTTTAACAGATACAGTTTTGGTGTTATTCTTTTTTTTTTTTTTTTTTTTTTGCGGTACGCGGGCCTCTCACTGATGTGGCCTCTCCCCTTGCGGAGCACAGGCTCCGGATGCGCAGACCTAGCGGTCATGGCTCACGAGCCTATCCGCTCCATGGCATGTGGGATCTTCCCGGACCGGGGCACGAACCTGTGTCCCCTGCATTGGTAGGCAGACTCTCAACCACTGTGCCACCAGGGAAGCCCATTTTGGTGTTACTCTTTTTAAAAAAACTTTTCCTGTTTAAGCAATAAATGGTTAGAATTGTTACTTTTTAATGTCATCTTGGAAATACCATCAAATGAAATTTGAAAAAATAAATAAATAAAAAATGTGTAAGGAAACTGTAGAAAGTCATCAAGAGAAATTAAAATCTAAATAAGTGCAAAGCTATATCACTTCCATAGATTGGAAACCTTGATTTTGTAATGATCTTATATCTCACCATATTGATCTGAAGACTTATGGCAGTTCTCATCAAAATCCCAAAGACCAAGAGTAGCCAAGATACTGTGAAAGAGACTAAGGTAGCAGAACTGATTTTATTGCATAACAATAATAAAACTTCATTCTGATAAAACTGTAGTATTTAAAAGACAATGTGGTATTGGTTCAAAGATGGACAAGAAGACCAGTGGAACAGGATAGCCCAGAAACAAATGGATGCATTAGTAGATGTTTATTTTACTAAGAAAAAAAGGTGTCACTGCAAAACTATATTGAAAGGACAATCTTTTTAATAAACAGTGCTGGGAATGGAAAAAAAAAACTGTTGGAGACACTCATACAATCCCACTTAATACTATTTTTCTTCTTTAAATTTTTAAAAATTTTTATTTTTGGCTGCGTTGGGTCTTCGTTGCTGCACATGGGTTTTCTCTAGTTGTAACGAGTGGGGGCTACTCTTCATCGTGCTGTGCGGGCTTCTCATTGTGGTGGCTTCTCTTGTTGTGGAGCATGGACTCTAGGTGCGCAGGCTCAGTTGTGGCTCGTGGGCTCTAGAGCGCAGGCTCAGTAGTTGTGGCGCATGGGCTTAGTTGCTCAGCAGCATGTGGGATCCTCCCAGACCAGGGGTTGAACCTGTGTCCCCTGCATTGGCATGCAGATTCTTAACCACTGCACCACCAGGGAAGTCCCAATACTATTTTTTAAATTTCACTTCAGATAGATTATTGACCTGAATGTAAAAGTTGAAACAAGAAAGTTTATCTTAAAATATGAGATAGGAGAATATCATCACAGCCTTGGAGTACAGAAAGTTTTCTTAAGTCACAAAAAGCTGTAACTATAAAGGAAAAATTTATAAATTTTGTTATTTTAAAAGGAAAAACTTTTATTCCTCAAAGGACACCATTAAGAGTGAAAAGCATGACAGTAGATGAGAATTTATTTACAACACATGTAACCAACAGAGGGCTGATGTGTACAATATATAGAAAAACTCCCTCAAATCATTAAGAAAAATGTAGAAAACCCAGTGGGAAAATGTGCAAACGATTTAAGAAGGCAAAAGATAAAATCCAAGTGGCTAATAAACACATGAAAATATGCTCAGCTCATTAAAAATCAGGAACTGCAAAATAAAACCACAATAAAATACCACTGTATACTTACCGGAAAGTGATAATACCAAGTGTTGATGAAGGTGTGGAACAGTGGAAACTCATTAAGTGCTGATGGGAGTGTAAATTGGTACAATTTAGAGAACAGTATCTACTGAGTTGGAGATATGCCTTCCCTGTGAGCCAACAATTCCGCTGTTAGGTGTGTACCCAGAAATGGGTACATGTGCACCAGGAGCCATTACAAGAATGTTCATAACAGCATTATTTATAATAATGAATAAATGGAAACAACTCATATCCATTAACAGTAGAATAAATAAATTATGGTATATCCATATTATGGAAAAATACACAGTTTTGAAAGAATGAAGACAGCTATAACCAATAGTGTAGATGAATCTTATAAACATTAAAAGGAAAAAGCCAACACTGAAAAATACATATTTTATGATTCCATTTATATGAAGTTACAAAAAAGCTAAAATTAACTATAGTTTTTAGGAATGATTATTTGGTGAAACTATAAAAGTATGGATGTGATTACCTTAAAAAGCATGGTGATTTGAAAGGGAGGGATAAGTGATAGAAAAAAGTAAAGCACAGAGGGGCTTCCAGGGTTGTTGGCAATGAATTTCTTGATCTAGGTGATAGTTACACAGTTATTTACTTAGTAATAATAATTGATTAAGAGTAACGTATATTTTATGCACTCTGCGGCATTTGTGGGCTTTTTTTCACCACTTAGAAAAGATTTTCAAATATACATTTATACACATATACCTGTACATATATATGATACATGTATGTACATATATGTACGTATATATGCAAACGGTGGTGATAAAGATAGATGTCCTTGGGCAGAATGGTATTGATCAGTGTGTGCTGGGCTGTCTACTTTGGCAGAATGCCGCATTAATCCTTTTTAATAAGGCAATTTAAGCCTCCCACATATATATGTGATTACAGTTAAACTGTTGAGAGGAAAGATCTGTAAACTTTAATCCTGACACATTTTAAATCTTCTGAATGCCTTAGATCTTATTCTTTAGGAAGAAATTTATTTTTCCTCTCATTTGGTGGTTTGGCCAAATAGGAAATTTTCATTGTGACCTTCAGTCAGTTTTATGCCAGAGAATGACCTGTACCCTTCCTTGCAATATTTCAAAATAACAGTGTTTTTCTCTCTTATTTGTTTTGTCCTCCACTATTTTCACTTGTGTTTTATAACTGTGTTGTGGATTGAATGATACTTTTGAAAACTTGTTTCTGGACTAGCCTTAGCATATCATCCTTGGTTTTCCTTGTATGCAAAGGAGAGTGATTCCAACATTTAAACTGGGATTTGTATAATTCAAGGTTTTTTGTATTTTTAAGGCTTTTCCATTGTGGCTTTCAATTCTAGTCGCCACACATTTCTACTTACGTCATTCTGTAACCAAGGAAACTCCCTACTTTGAGCATGGCACAGTGCAAGTATACCTTTTAAAAAAATATTACAGGTTGAATATTCTGTGTATTCTGAAATAATATGCTAAAGAATATCAGCGATACTAGTGATAGAAAAAAGCCAAACTTTTACACATTAAAATTGTCTGAAAGAACAAGTCTTAAGTATGAAAACAGTCTTTCCAAATAAAAAAGTTTCTTCCAAATAAAAAACTTGAACTGCCATTGCTGTAGATATGTGCATATACAGCTTAGGGAAACTGAAGACTAAAATAAAATCCAACTAGAAAATAAAATTTAAATTAAAAAATTTATGTGTAACAAATGTATTTCTGAGGTCAGTTGATCAGCATTTATCTTAAGCAGTATCAAATATACCCAAAATATTTAAGTAGGCCAATTTAGGTTAAAACACAAAGATGAATGAGGTATATTGGGGGAGACAGATATGGATGCAAATATAAAATCTTCAACGAAGTAAGTTCTATAATGAAAGAATAGTTAAGATATTAGTGGTACAAACAATATCGATTTGATAGGCTCACAGAGTTTGCTATGAAGATAATTTTTAAAAATATAATTGGTATGTAAATTCTGTCTCTAAAATTCCTTAGTTTGTTATCCATTAGAAAACTTGAAAGATATTTGTTTCTTTCAGCTTTTATTGTGAAAATTTAAAAACCTATTCAGGGGCTTCCCTGGTGGTGCAGTGGTTAAGGATCCACCTACCAATGCAGGGGACACGGGTTCGAGCCCTGGTCCGGGAAGATCCCACATGCTGTGGAGCAACTAATCCCATGCACCACAACTACTGAGCCTGCGCTCTAGAGCCCACGACCCACAACTACTGAGCCCACGTGTCACAACTACTGAAGCCCACGCGCCTAGAACCCGTGCTCCGCAGCAAGAGAAGCTACCACAATGAGAAGCCCGTGCACCACAACGAAGAGTGGCTCCCGCTCACCACAACTAGAGAAAGCCCGCACACAGCAAGGAAGACCCAACGCAGCCAAAAATAAATAAATAAATAAATTTATTTTTTTTAAAAAAACAACCTATTCAGATGTAGAGAGATTGTAATATAATGAACCACCATGTACCCATCACCCAAGAAAGCTTCGAATTAATGAAAACCTGAAACGCTTTTTAAAAACATGGCTTTCAAGTTCAGAAAGTTACAAATTAATTAACTGCCCTAGAAAAATAACATCTGTACAAATATGAATCCAAATGTAAATACTTGTGATATACTTTGAAATTCACTAATACCTCTTTTTAGTATCTTTGTATTCAAACTCCATTAGTGAATGTGTTTTAACTTTAACAGTTATGTATGTTTTATTTTAAACAGTGTGCAGTATTTTATAGTATTGCCTTTTAAATGTGAGCATAGTATCTAGAATAACAGTAGAATGATATTACTTACCTTCAGTGCTGAGAATCAATTTGTTTAGTTGCTGCCAGACATTGTGAAAAGTGACATCATATCAAATAGAAATGAAATAAAGCTTTTGTGTATTTAAGCTGCACTGTCAGATACTCCCATTTGAAACTCAAATCTTCAGAGGTGTGTTATCTAAATCATGCACTTTTTTGGTTTTTTTTATAATTCTTTACATTAAATTGCTTATACCAGAATTCCTATTTCATCTCAAATTTTGGTTATTTTGTTCACATTATTCTTTAGATGCTATTAAGCTACAGCTGGTTGAAGCAGGCCTGGTAGAATGTCTACTAGAGATTGTTCAGCAGAAAGTGGATAGTGACAAAGAGGAGGATATTGCTGAGCTCAAAACCGCTTCAGATCTAATGGTTTTATTACTTCTTGGAGGTGAGTTGTAATTTATGCCAACGAAAGAACATGACTGTCAGATATTTAAAAATTTATCGTCTCTTTTATAAGTACTATATTAGGCATTTTCTCATTTTCCTGTCACATTTAATCCTGTTGATTTGTTGATTTTGAAACCTTAAATACATCTTCCAGTATTTAAAGAGCTGTCATATAGAAGAGACAGCTGTGACACCAAAGGACTAAAAGCGAGATGGCTCCTTGGGACTTAGACTAGAAAACTTCTAAGCCCTTTTGTCCAGTCTCTGCTAAAAGGTTATTAGAAAAAGAGTCATTACTGGGACTTCCCTGGTGGTGCACTGGTTAAGAATCTGCCTGCCAATGCAGGGGACACGGGTTCGAGCCCTGGTCCGGGAAGATCCCACATGCCACGGAGCCACTAAGCCCATGAGCCACAACTACTGATCCTGCGCTTTGCAGCCTGTGAGCCACAACTACTGAGCCCACGTGCCACAACTGAAGCCCGTGTGCCTAGAGCCCATGCTCTGCAACAAGAAGGCACCACAATGAGAAGCCTGTGCACCACAACGAAGAGTAGTCCCCACTCACCACAACTAGAGAAAGCCCACGCACAGCAACGAAGACCCAACGCAGCCAAAAATAAATAAATTTATAAATTTATTTAAGAAATAGAGTCATTACTTTTCCCTTTGTGAATTATAGATTGTAAAGTATCTATGTGATTTCCCAATTGGGTATCAGTTAAGAATAGGGATATGTTACTTCTAAGTATTTTCCTCTTACCTGTTGCATTTACCTCTAGATGAATCCATGCAGAAATTATTTGAAGGAGGAAAAGGTAATGTGTTTCAAAGGGTACTGTCTTGGATTCCATCAAATAACCACCAGCTACAGCTTGCTGGAGCATTGGCAATTGCAAATTTTGCCAGAAATGGTAAGCATATGAGTTCATCCTTATTAAATCAGACCTTCTGTATTTTTAAATTTTGCTTTGCCATAACGTATACTAAACCTAAAACAGTTCAGAAGCGTGTGCAGTATCTGTGTGTAATACTACCTTAATTTTTCAGAAATCTGAAATACTAATATTGACTTTCCCAACAAATTACATATTTTATGCAATTCAACTAAGTTCTAATAGTTTAAAGGTCATGAACAGTGATTATGAAGTCTTTCTTTTGAGTACTGTGTACTTCAGAGATGAATAAACTTGAGTCCCATTCTAATAAACATCTGATCTGGGAGGATATACTTTTTTGCCTGGTGATTTTATTTTGGATTTAATAATCTGAGTATTCATTATTGTGCCTCATTTATAATGTTACACCTATAAAATCTAAGCATGGGTAATCCTCTGGTTTAAGATAGAATATTTACTTAAATAAAATTTCAGAGGCACCAGACCTCCATGTATATTTCTGAAGTCTGACACTTCTGCTATTCCCTCTAGAAACTTATACTGTGTCTAGGAAATACGAGTTATTTTTGTTTTTAATTTGATTTTATTTGAGTATTAACTGTTGTTATAGCATGTTATAATAGATGACTTATTCCATTTTTCCTTCCTTCCTTCTGGGGACCATCATTAACTCCTTAATGATGAAATTAAGACTGGCAAAATATTGATAATTATTGAAGCTAAATGGGGAGTAAATAGTAGTTCATTATAATATTCTCTCTGCTTTATAAATGTTTCAGAAATTCTGTCTTTAAAAAATAATTTAAATATCAGCCATGATGACAAAATGTAGAGTACTGTCACTGTAACGTTCGCAGAACACTGGCATACTTCACTATAAATGGAAACTACTGGAGGACATTTTAAGCATGTGGTTTCTACTTACTCATCTTCTGATATATTATCAGGAACTCAGCTAGAGACTTTTTTGGCCAGTTTTTTAAATTTTATCTATTTTAAGAATCTTATAATCAGATTCTCAGTCAGTAAACAAACAAAAAAATCTGTAAATCTGATGTAAGAAGGAGATGGAATTCATTTTATTTTCCTATAGCTCCATTTTCCCTAATGTAGATAATGGGCAGGCATCAGTTTTACAAAATATTTATAGATATTTGTAAAGAGGGAAAAAAATGTTTTTTGTTGTTATTTAGATGGAAATTGTATCCATATGGTAGACAATGGAATTGTAGAAAAACTTATGGATTTACTGGACAGACATGTAGAAGATGGAAACGTAACTGTGCAGCACGCAGCACTAAGTGCCCTCAGAAACCTAGCCATTCCAGGTAAGACTTAAGAATGGGAGCCAATGAGATTTATTCTAAAAGTCATCTATGAGATGGGGTGCTTTGAGACAGTTGTATCAGTAGCCTCTTTATTAGCTCAAATGCTTTTATCTCGTTCTCAGTGCAGTCCAATATTTTAATCTATTATTTAAATGAAATTCGTGGTTTCAGTCATAGAAACTGCTCTGAAACAACATCAAAGCCAAGGTCAATAGCTCAGAAAGCAATAGTGCCTACTGTACAGCACAGGGAACTCTACTCAATATTCTGTACTGACCTATATGGGAACAGAATCTAAAAGAGAGTAGATATATGTATATGTACAACTGATTCACTTTTCTGTAAGCAGAAACTAACACAACATTGTAAATCAACTATACTCCAATAAAAATTAATTAAAAAAAAAAAGAATGGGAGCCAACTGTGTAAGAGATAAAGATCTGTCGTTTTGGGAAGATATTTATGTGATTTGTGGACCTGCCCTGACCAAGAAAAGAAAAATAGTCTTCAGATTGCTTACATTTTTCTTACTAATAAATGGAGATCATATGTTAAAGAAGTTTTCTGAGACTATGCAAGCATAATCTTCCTTTTTCAGATTATTCAAATATTCTATTACTTTTTGTGAACTCCTAGATTTTCATCATATTGTATAGTTAAGATTTTTTAAGCATCTTCAGCTGAGGTAAGATAATGGTATCAATTAACAGACTCCCTTAAAGAATGACTTTTAAGAATTCTTTCTCCCTACGAGCAGACGTACAATTTTTTTAAATAGCCTTAATGTGCCTTTTTGGATTACAAGGCTTTTGAAATCACATTATCACGGGAACTAATACAGGATATAGTTGAAACTATCCTTTTATTCTACTTTCTAAAGGTAAATTTCTGATTAGGTAAAATAGTATAACTATATGAAAATGCAATCTGTATAAAATCAATTTGGCTCATGTAGCAGATTAATATTGTTTATTAATGTCTATAATATCTATATTAACAGTTGGGTCCAGGACAGAGGTAAAAAGAAACATTTATTAAAGTTGAGGAATTGTGCTTTTCATAAATAAGAAGGCAACATTATCAGATTTCCTTTACAAATTATTAGTTTATGGTTAGATTTTAAAAGCAAGTGTGATTTTGTATGTTGTGCTCCTGTAGACAAATAGGATACTTATCCCCTAGCCCTCCCATTCCCAGTTCCATTCTTAAAATTAACAGAAAAGTAACAATGTTGTTTTTAAGTAGACAAATATAACATGGGGCCTTAAGATAATAAGACACTCAAAAAATGTATATTGAATTGAATGATTATCATCAAAAATGCGATCATTTTAATCAGTGTTTTTTTTTTCTCTCTCTCTAGTTATAAATAAAGCAAAGATGTTATCAGCTGGCGTCACAGAGGCAGTTTTGAATTTTCTTAAATCTGAAATGCCCCCAGTTCAGTTCAAACTCCTGGGAACATTAAGAATGTTAATAGATGCACAAGGTAAGAGAAATGCTTTCTCAAGGTGCATTTTTGGTATAATAGTCTTAACGTGCCTCTAGTGGAAAAAGGACCTGTTTTTAGCTTTCAGAATTATGTAATCATAAAGATAAGTAGCAAATAAAAGGCAAAAAGAGATTGGTTTTGGAACCCCCATTCATTAATTTCCAGGCTTGTTATAATTGACTTTCAATGGAAATTATATTGCATTTCTCTTTATTAGTACATATAATCTGATTTTAGGTTAATTTATTAGTGGTTCTTGAGGGGTTTTTATGTTTTGGCATTTTTTATACCCTTTCTTACCTTGTAAAATTATCAAGTTGCAATACAGTGACAGTCAAAATTTTTTTAAATTTGTTTTGCAAACAGGGAGATCATTTTTCTGTTTACAGAAACAATAATGAAAACCAATCCTTGGGATGAGTTACATTTATTTACTTACTTCTAAATTCTAAACCTTCTCTATACTGATTCCTTAGAGTACTGCTAAAAATTCTTCGGTACAGTTTTCCAAAGTACTAACACACTGCCAGGCTGAGCCAAAAGAGTATAAAGTTGTTTATTTTGTTTTTGTATAAAAGTCCACAACTGAATAGAAAATCTCAATAGTCCATCAGATACGGAATATTTGCAGTTCTTGCTTTAATAAAATTGTTGTGTTCTGTTTTTAGACCTGTAATTTTCCTTCACACTCTTACATCTTTACCAATTACTTCAGTTGATTGCCTATCAGTGATTCATTCCTTTGTGGTTTGCCTTCTTTCCTATAGCAGAAGCTGCTGAACAACTGGGAAAGAATGTTAAATTAGTGGAGCGTTTGGTGGAATGGTGTGAAGCCAAAGATCACGCTGGTGTGATGGGGGAGTCAAACAGACTGCTCTCTGCCCTCATACGACACAGTAAATCAAAAGTAAGTTCCAGAGGAAACCGTTCATTTATTTATGAAACAGATTAAAAGAAGATGGCAAGAGAAAAAGCTTGAAAGTAAAGGTATTCCTTGACTAGTGTAAATCTCCTTCGTATAAATAATTGACTTCACCATAGTAACTGTTCCAGCTGGTTGGCCACAGGAATGTTCCTCCCCATCAGATGCTACCTCTTGGCATCTTTCCCTGCAGCAAAAGCAGCTGTTAACTTGGACCTTCCTACTACCTGTCTCACCTATAGCAGCCTAAAATCCCATCCATTTTCACTGACACCAGTACAGGACCAAGTATATTGTTGACAAGATGGAAAGTATGAAGAAAGCATAGCAAAATGAACTCCTGTGGTAGTCCTTTTACCTCTTCATCATAACTGCTCTGTCAGGCCCATTTGTTCATTTCACAGTCAACATTTTGGTACTTACAGTGTAAATATTATAAAAGATAGTATGACTTTCAAGAATTAACGGTCCAGTGGGAGGGCAGATATAAAAACAGCATTAAAGCCACAGACTCCAATTCAGATATAACTTAGAAGACAGAGAGACCAACTGTCTGGGCATCACAGAAGGGGTCATGTTTTAGATGTTAACTGGGAATCTCTCAGGAGGAGAGTGGGAAGAGAAAGCATAGAAAGGCCTCCAAGCAAAGACCACAGTGTGTCAGCAGCACAGAGGTCTACAACAACATAGTCCGAGAGGAAAACTGCAAGTAAAGCAGTATTGCTGGAGCAGAGTGTGTAAAGACAGTGACCAGAGAGGAAGAGAAGAGGGGATCAAGATGAATTATGTGCCAGCTTAAGGTGTATGAATTTATCCTATAGAGAATTAGGAAGCTCCCAAAGGATTTTAAGCGCCAGGGTGCTATTATTTGGTTTTCATTAGAAAGACGACTCTAGGGCTTACTAAGGGCAAGGAAAACATAGTTTTTCAAAAATATACGTGCGAGATGATAAAGGCCTGAATTAAGGTTTTGGGTTAAGCAATTTGAAGTTGCTGGTATTCAACCATTTTGACACAAAGAAACAAGTGTCATATGGTTCAACCTAATAGAAGCAGTGAGGATGGAAAAGAAGGATTTGAGAAAGATATGAGTGGCAGAATTGACAGAATTCAAAAGTGGGGTCCAAGGAGAAGGAGGTTTTAGAATTCCAAGTTTGGGGCTTAGTACCAGGTGGGGTAATCATGCCATTCATCAAAATAAGAGACCATGAGAAAAACTGACATTCCCTAACTTGCTTACTGCCAAATCACTCTTCTATCCTTTTCAGAGTCTTTACCTAATTCTTTGCTTCATTCTAGGAGCATTCTTACCAGTGGTTTCATTTAGGCAAACCATAATTCTGTTAACTAGATTGCAACAAACAGAGCCATGTTTGGGCCTCTGAATTTGGAACTCTCAGGTAAATTCCTGTTACTTGTGGTGGTTAGGCCAATGAAGACTTGATTAATCCATAATATACCTTAAGTTCACTAACAACTAACAGAATTGTATAACCAAACCATTAGTGGACACAAAAATGTGTGCACAGGAAGATAACGTTCCATCATCTTAAATAACCAAATCTTGGAACCAAAGCTCTTCAGATGCTGTAATATTGAGATCTGAGGGTTTTGAGGCTTTTCTGTGGGTTTCATTATCACAGATTCCCTTTCCCTTATCTAACACCATACTCCCTCCCCCCAAAAGTTTTCAAATAAAATAACCATTAAGCATCCATCACCATGTAGGTTCTTTGAAAAGACTTATGAGAAATATGGGATGGTACCTTTCTAGGTGTGTGTGTGTGTGTGTGTGTGTGTGTGTGTGTGTGTAATAAAAAACAATTTGAAATGATATGGGATTGCAACTTTATAGTTACCTTATAACTTTTTTACAATTCAGTACCAGATAGGCTACTTTTTCCTTTACATATGTTTCCTACAATTGAGATTATACTGCTACTAAGAGGCAATAGGAACCTTGATCCATAGACGTTAATGATTAGAATACAAGGTGTGTTATTTGAGCTCTGGATTAGAATTATTAATTTAAATTATTTTTAAATTTAACAAACATTCAAGGAACAGATGATTCTGTTTGAACAGCATTTCTCAAAATATGTTCTATCGAATAATAACCCCAAGAAATGTTCCAAGAAAAAGGGTTTCATGGTCAGAGTAGTTAGGATAATAGTGCATTCCCTTTACTTGCCTTTAGAATTCTGTAGAAGCTCTAAAGAAACTTCCTTAACTTTAGCTATTTAACTGTGGGTCTTTTTTGCAAGAGGCATCTATTAACATTCCACTGGACATACTTTGGAAAATGCTGCTCTGGAGTAAGTTTTTAAAATAATTAAACACTAGGTACAAATTTGTTACATTCCTGTATATCCTTAACCAACTGTTGTGAATCACAGCTCTGTCCTTATGTTATTCTTAAACTTTGAATATTCTACTCCTTTTAAAGTCACCCTGAATTCTACCGTAGAGTCCAGTCCTCCAAAAGTTTGCACTGATTCATGGGGTTTCATGCTGGCTTAGGCCTTTCAGCCATATATGGTGTATCCTTGTGCTTATGCCAATAGGTAAAATTACACCTTCCCTCTAAAGAGTGCCCTAGGCTACGACTCGTAACCAACTAGCTGGACCTTCTGACTGCAGATATCAAAAACAGAGAAAGAAATACAGTTTGCCTCTACAATAGGAAAATAAAAATTCCCTTTTATCAAAGTAGGCACTTTTCTTTAACCTGTAAGAGTCAAACACTCTTCATCAGTATCAGCTAAAAACTTGTTTAAACAAATGTACTTAGTCATTTGCTTATTCATCCAACATTTACTTAAACCTATACTGAGAGCTTTGATGATACAATATTAAAAAAGAAAATTTTTGGTAGGTGATTCAGTAGCTACACCAGCCTACAGTCTTATAAATCGATTATCTCAAATTCAAGCCTATCTCAAACCATTCCATTGTAACAACATTGTTATACAATTTTCAACAGAGTCTTCAGCTGGATTTATCTCAACAGTTAAGAACAAACTGACCATAAATGCTAAATATGTGAGACTGTTAACATAGATAATTTGCCTTAGTTATATATGTACCAAAATTTAGTTTTCCATAAGAAAACTCCTTGAAAAATAGGATTATGAAATAAAATATTGTTTCAAACTTTGTAAAGCATTATAAAATATTTCCAAAATTCTTAAAGACTCTCCAGAGACATCTAAGGTTTAGAAGGATTACCCAGAGAAAACGTCTCATTATGTATATCTACGGTTTACTTGTTATAAATGAAATGGTTTCAGAGAGGTTAAAATAATCTCTGGATTAATTTTAGAAGTGTATTGGTTAAAATTATTTTTAATTTTCCAGATGAACCTTCTTGCTCTATGGAGTGGTGCTAATATTCTTTTTTTTTTTAATCTTGAAGTTAAAAATATAACTTTAAAATACATTCATAGAGCCCCTTCAAATCACATTAAATGACTGCCTCTGCTTGGCATTATGATGAATTCAGTGTGTATGCTTTTCCATAGACCACAGATGGTTAAAAACAAGACCTAGTAGTCAAACTGCCTGGATTGAATCTTGGCTTTTTACCATTTAATCACTGTCTGATTTGGGGCAAATTCCATAACTTAATCTAAGCTTCCATTTCTTCATCTATAAACTGGAGATAATATCTAGCTAGTGGGATCTTCTGTGAGGATAAAAATGAGCTACTATCTGTAAGTTACCCAGTGTACAAGTGTTGTCCAGTGTATAGGTGTTTCTCCATACAGGGTAGCTGTCAATAGTAATAATCCTCTTTTGTCACATGACACAAGTACAATGCTTCATTTATCTTTTATCCCCCATTCTATCGGGCAAAGTGATTCTGTAGAGTAGCTACTCAGTAAGCATTTATTGAAGTAGGAGGAGAGAGGGCAGGCACTTTAAAGGACAGTACTCAGATATTCGTTCCAGAAAAGTGAGATGGAAAAGAAGCTACGCTTCGATTTAAGGGGTCAGGGTGGGGGGTGGTGATTTTTGGTATTTCTGATGTGCAAATTTTCTTCATTCATTCATCCCTTTCCCTTCTTTCTACTACAGTGGGCTTTTGAGGGTGAATCACAAAAGAGAGGATGAAATGACAGCCCAGGAACCTTCCTAGGTGACTGCATATGTATCTTGTGAATCTCTTTTGATCCTTTTTACTCAACAAGCTCCTTTGTGATATTTATAAAATTCTTTACTAATTTTAAGAATTCTGTATCAGTTTCAAATAAACTGCCTCTGAGTAAGCAGTATAAAGCGGTATATAGTCATCCTCGTCCCTCGGTATCTGAGGGGGATTGGGCACCCTCTCAGATACCAGAATCTGTGGATGCTCAAGTCCCTTATATAAAAACGGCATAGTATTTCCATCTAACCTACACACATCCCCCACAGACTTTAAATCATCTCTAAATAACTTATAATACCTAATATGATGTACATGCTAGTAGATCGTTGGAAATACAGTGTAACTACTAAATCGTTGCCAGCGCACAGCAAATTCAAGTTCTGCTTTTTGAAACTTTATGAAATTTTTTTCCCCAAGTATTTTCAATACATGGTTGGTTGAATCCATGGATGCAGAACCTGCAGGTACGGAGGGCTAACTATATTGGGAGGCTTTCTTTTCATTAGAAAGGGCTTTAAAAGGTAGTTTCTCACTTTCTAAAAAAGTTGATGCGAAAAGACATTAAATGCTAGAACACAACTGCTGTAAAAACTCAGAACTTAGACTCTATTTGATTTAGAATGTTTGCTCACTAAACAAGTTTGGACTCAAAGCAAAGATACTGTCTATAACTAGTTTTCTTAAAAATTTACATAAGGTAGAAGCATAAACCCTTTTTCCAATATTTTAGCAAATTAATTTGAAAATATTTCTAATTACAGTTTTGTACCATTGAAGCTAACTTGGACAGGCTACTTAAAATATTCAGTGCTTACTTCAAATTACTAAAAATAGTGAAAAGTAGTAAAATTACTTTTTAAATATTTTATAATTGAGGCTTTCTACTAAATCATATTTAATCCAACAAAACCCTAAGTGAGATGAAGACAAAAATGAGTACTAGAAATAAATGTACCCATTTCTTTCTATCTAGCCTTTGCTGTATACTTTTATGTGTGCTCTTCATGTAATAACTTTGTAATTATAACAAAAACCTATGAGATATACACTTACATTGTCTCAGTGTTATAGGTGAAGTCTCTGAGATGCAGAGAGAGTCAGTAGTTTGCTCAAAGTCAGTGGGATTTATTGAGTCTGGAGCCCACTGCCCCTCTGCCGCTGGAGAGGACAGAGCTGTAGGCACCATGAGAAATGAGGGAGACAGAATTTTGATTTAAGTTCTGCTCAAGTCCTTTTGTATGTAATCTAGTTTTGTTAGACCCAACAAAGGTTTTAAAAGGCTGCATACATACACGTATACATGCACACATACATACGTAAAAAGCTTCACCTGATGCATCTGAAAAAACTACCTGGTGTTATAATAAAAATCTGAAAGGAAGAACTTTTTACATTATTATTATTCCAAGATTTATTCTCTTTTGTTGATCTCGTGGTAAGTCTTCATTTGGGGCAATGGCACTTTTATTTCTTTGACTTTGTTAGCTTCTGGGACTCTCTGTTCCTTGATATGAACTGCAGTGGTCTTTTTTGCTTAGGTAATTTAAGTTGTCATCTTTTGATGAATTTATTTAAAGGTAAAAGCTTTTTCTTTCTCTTCTGTGAAGAAGAAGAAATTATGGTTAAATGTAATGATTCATAGGGACACTGTCAGAAAACCACTCAACAGTGAATTGACTGACGGTAACGCAGTTTTTTTATGTTTAAAAGTAAAGTTTATAATTCTGTGATATTAATTTATTGTAGGATGTAATTAAAACCATTGTACAAAGTGGTGGCATCAAGCATCTAGTTACCATGGCAACTAGTGAACATGTAATAATGCAGAATGAAGCCCTTGTTGCTTTGGCACTAATAGCAGCTTTAGAATTGGGTAAGTACCCCAGTGATAAACTTATTTTCTCCTGTTTTTATCTTGGATGAAAGGAAGCCACAGGAGTGGAATAGAAGTCAGACAGGACCTTGACTAGAAGCATTTTGCCAGTGTGTTTCTGTACCCGTCCGGATCTGAGTATATGGAAAATCATATTCTATAGATTGTCACCATAGCTGTCCTTTTTGGTTGTCCTTTTGGTAACATTTTTAGGGTAATGCTTTAAGGTTAGTTTGACTCTTAAATGATACCTCAAAGTTTAGGCACTTAGGGAATACAGAAAACATTTTCAGCAGACCTCATGGAGAAGTGAAACAATACTTAAAATACAACAAGTTCAGGGTTTGCTACTCTTCCAGACATCCAGACCTTCCCTTCCATCTCTACTACTGATTCTCTCTTACTAACCTCCTCCTCTCTATCACCATGGTTTCTGTTGCTTTACAGCATTGCCTTCATTCTAAATTCTCACCTTTTATGTCACTCTTCTGTGTATTTACATTCAGGATTCCCCCAAAGCAGAGTCTAAATGATTCAGGTAGTTTCTCTCTAGCAGTAGCATTCCTGTTACTCAGAATTCTTCAGGAGAAGCTAGCATCTAGTTTATGGGTAGCAACTTTGTCTCCGGAACCAAACTCTGATACATAGTCAGCTGGGGACAATCAAAGTCACATGGCCTGTGGTAAGGCCTGAGGTTGCCTTACATAAAGGAGGACTATAGACTTGGTAGGCATGTCCTGTTCGGTTCAAAACCATTCGGGTAAATACTGTTAACTGATCACCTCAGTTCCCAGTGATGATTTTTGCCCATAATTCTCACACTGGGGCAAGTGGACCCACCAACCCTTATCCCAGGAAGGAGAAGCCAAAAGATAAACATGGTATATCTCCTTCAGTGTCAGATTTACTCAGATTTCAGGTATGAGAGATTTGAATTTTTGTCCTCTTAAGGGGACAGTTAAAACAATTTATAATTTTTAAAAAATCAGGTATAAGTAGGATGTAAAATTTTCTTGAATTCTAAAGAAAGAAAACATCCAGAAAATATATGTGGCTTTGGTCACTAACTTAGGTTAAAGATGCTGTGATTTCCTCCATGGTTTGGGTAGATTATGTGAGTCTGTCCAGAGGTCCAGACACCTTTAAGAGGGGAAGCTATGATGAAGAGGTGAGAGTTGGTGAGGACATTGAATACCAAACGGGGTTCATGGCTTGATTTTTAAAAATGGCTTAAAGTGATAGAGCAATTTCAGAATATCCTTGACTTCCTATCCTGGGCTGAATCTGGTCTTGTGCCCTTCATAGCTAGTATCTTCTAAATAGGCTTTAATTTTGTCTGCTTCCTGATAGCTGAGCATTTGCCTGAGTCTGTTTACCTTACCACAGAACTATATAAAATGACAAAACATAATCATATTTGTTGTTGGTTGTTGTCACCTAGTGTTTCCTAGGCTCTTTGAGCCTAAGATTTAGAAATGAGGTCTTACTACCTTTTTAATATAAAATACACTTTGAAAACCGTATTTTTCCAAACTTGTATCCTTACAGGCTTTTAGATATTATTAAGGAATTACTATAAAATTTTTGTACGATAATAGTATTGAAGCAACATTTTAAGAGTCCTTATCCTTTTTTTTTTTTTTTTGATAATTGTACATTCACAAGCAGTCGTAGGAAATAATACAGAAAAATCCCTTGTACACTTTGCCCAGTTTTGCCCAGTGGTAACATTTTGCAAAACTAGTGTAACATCCCAACCACTGATACAATGTACCTATCTTATTCATACTTCCCCAGTTTCACTTGTACTTACTTGTGTGTATGTTATATTCAGTTTATCACCTGTGTAGGTGTATCTGAGCAGTTCTAATACCACAAGGATTCTCCATTTATTAACCACATTCACCTACCTCCTACACTGCTCCTAATCCCTGGAAACCACTAATCTGCCCTTCATTTCTAAAATTTTTTTCATTTCAAAAATATATAAATGGAATCATATTGTATGTGACCTTATGGAATCGGCTTCTTTTGCTCAGCATAAATTCCTAAAGAGTCATTGATTTGTGTGTCAATAGTTCATTCCTTCTCATTCCTGAATAGTATTTTGTGATATGTATGTACCACAATTTGTTTAACCATTCATGTATTGAAGGACATCTGGGCTGATTCCACTTTGGGATTTTTAAAAATAAAGCTACAATGAACATTCATATATGGGATTTTATGTAAACATAAATTTTCATTTTTCTAGATAAATGCCTACGAGTTACTAGATAACTCCTGGGTTGTATGGTAACTTCATGATTGATATTTAGAGAAACTGACAGACTGTTTTTCAGAGTGGCTATACCATTTTACATTCCCGCCAGCACTGCATAAGTGATCTAATTTGCTCTGTACCCTCACCAACGTTTAGTATTGTCCCTGTTTTTTTCTTTTATTTTAGTCAATCTGATAGATATATAGTGATATCTCATGCAGTTTTAATTTCCATTTTTCTAATAACTACTGATGATGTACATCTTTATGTGCTTATTTGCCATCTGTATTTATTCCTTGGTGAAATGCCTATTTAGATCTTTGCCCATTTTCTAAATTGTTTTTAACTATTGAGTTTTGAGGATTATTTATATTCTGAAAGTCCTGTAGTTTTACATTTAACTCTGTGATCCTTTTTGTATTAATATCTGTATAAGATGTGAGGTTTGGGTCAGGGTTTCTTTTTTTTTTGCCTATGGATGTAATTGCTCCAGCACCATTTATTGAAAAGGCTGTCTTTCCTCAACTAAATTGATTTTGTACCTTTGTCAAAAATCAGTTGCGCTTACGTGTGTGGGTCTACTTCTAGGGTCTTCTTTCAGTTCCTCTGACCTATGTGTCTGTCTCTCCACCAACACCACACTGTCTTGATAAATGTAGCTATACAGTGACCTTCATATCAGGTAGAGGAATTCCCCCCACTTTATTCTTCTTTATCAAGATTGTTTACCTCTTCTAGGGCCTGTGGCTTTCCATATAAATTTTAGTATAAGCTTATCTATTTCCTATGGAGAATCCTCTTGGGATTTTGATAGGAATTGCAGAGTCCGATTCTCTTAAAGATACATGCTGAAATACCTGTGGAGGAAATTATGTGATTATAGGATTTGCTCCAAAATAATTTGGGATGGGTTAGAATAAGTGGATAAGACTAGAGATAGAGGATACACAGTTGGCCATGATCATTTTTGAAGATGGTGATAGTACATAGTGTATCATACTATCTTTTCTGCTTTTGTGTTTAACAGTTTTCATAATAAAGGTTTTTAATTGCCTCATATTTAAAGGAATGTTTTAATATTGAATTTTAGGCCTAAACTCCTGAAATATCTACTGAATTTTAGATCTAAATACCCTTTTAACAAGGTCTAAATTTAATATTGCATATCTATGTCATTATTATTTATGAGTCCCGTTTGAAAGGTTTCACATTATCAGTTTCTAGAAAGGGAAATTAGTATTTAGCCAGATTGTCCCAGGTTCATACCCAGTGAATATAACTGATACTTGGTTTCATGTTCCAGGCACTGCTGAGAAAGATCTAGAAAGTGCTAAACTTGTACAGATTTTACACACACTGCTAGCAGATGAGAGAAGTGCTCCTGAAATCAAATATAATTCCATGGTCCTGATCTGTGCTCTCATGGGATCTGGTACGTATTTCCTCTGTCATTTGATATTCATCAACATATGGTTGACATTAAATATAAAATAATAGTAAATGGTGGCTTTGGGTTTTAAAAGCATTAGAAATTAGTTTATGGAAGATACAGGATTACTTTTACACTGCAAATACTCCCACAAGATTCTTAATAATGAAAAGTGTTATATAGCAAATATAAGGCAAAAGTCAGTGTTAAAAAATTAATACCTTTAAGTTTCATTAACCCTAAAATATTTTATATAAAGAACAAATTCTGATTTTGTATACCATGATATTAGCTAAGGAGTTTGTTCAAGAAATCATTGGCATATCTTGTTATACATTTCATGGACCACTTGAAAAGAACATGTATCCTGCTGTTATCGAGTGGTGAGTTCTATAAATGTCAATTAGATCCTTTTGTTTGGTAATGATGTTTCTGTATTCTTGCTGATTTTCTACTCGGTCTGTCAATTATTGAGAGAAGGGTGTTGAAGTCTCCAGCTATTATTGTTGATTTGTCTGTATCCTCCCTTCAGTTCTATCAGGTTTTGCTTCATACATTTTGCAGCTCAGTTGGCAGGTGCATACACCCTTCCTAGTGGATTTACCTTTCTATCGTTATGTAATGTTCCTCTCTGTCTCTGGTAGTTTTCTTTGCTCTGAAGTCTACTTTATCTGATATTAATATAGCTACTCCTACCTTCTTCTGAATAACATTCACGTGATCTTTTTCTACCCTTTCAGATTCAATCTGCGGTATCTTGTATTTGAAGTGTAGGCAGCATATTGTTGGGTCATGTTTTTTAATCCACTCTGTCATCCCCCCACCTTTTTTTTTAATGCTTAAAGATTACATAATTTCATCCACAAAGTTGGTTATCATTATTATTACTACCATTGGTTAGACGAGGAAGCCAGGACAGTGAAGGAAGTGAGCAGGGACATTGCAGTGGTGCTGGGTGAGGAGTGGTGAACATAAATTGTCCTGTCTGGTTAGTGACAGGCACTTTCAAGGTGATGGTAACAACCCAAATGATGGGCAGTAGAGGGGGTGGGTGTCGGGAAAGCACCTCTGGTAGTGAGCGTTGATGGGCAGAGTTGCGATTCTAGGTGGACTTTTTTGTGCACACACCAAGGGTGGATATGACTCCTGGGGCAGGCTCACCTTATCCAAGTACAAAACCAGAATGTTAGTTTACTTATATATAATGAGAAGTATGCCTGCCACTGATCTCAGAACACCCCAGGTGCACATGTCTGGCTCATTGACTCCTTCAGGGCAGACAGGCATCAAGGGTTGCTTGATGAGCTTTGATCAGAACAAGGAGAATTAAATGAATGGACTGTGTAATGGCATCAGGTCAAAGTGGTTTGATGCATCTGTCTCTGCAGTTGCATCAGCTTTGCTAAAGGAACTGGAAGCATGGAATCCCTGGGCTTGAGGCTCCATCTTTTTGGATGTTGCTGGAATGGCTCTGTCTGCATTACCCACAGTAGTGTTTTCTGTTCTATGCCGCTGTACTGACGAATGCCCCAGTAACCTCTGCTTTGCTTGCATTCTTTGAGGTAATTGTTGATCCTTTCCACAAATCCTGCTTGGGCAACCCCTCAAATGTTAAAATTCTCCTTTACAAAAAGTGCATCCATTCTCAATTTGACCAATAAATAAATGGTCAAGACACTCTTGTGTTAAGTCTTTAGTTAAGGAAGTATTTCCTTTGGTTATTTTCTGAATTTTTCCAGGGCCAGTATTTTTAGTGATGCACTGTTAGAGAAAAATAGAAATATTATTTGGGTAACCGGTAAGATTTTTTTTTTTTTTTTTTTTTTTTACTGTAATATGATACCCAAGTTGGAGAGCAGTGGGAAACAAAAAGTTTGTGTGTTGTTTAATCGGTAAGCAAAAATCATTTACTATTTCTTTGGGTTTTTTATTATTATTGCAGTTTTTAATATTTATTCCATTTATTTAAATTAATTTTTAAAAGTTCACCCATTTCTCCCAACCCCAATCCCTGTCCCCTGCAACCACCAATCTATTCTTTGTATCTATGAACTTGGTTTTTAGATTCCACATATAAGAGAGATCATATGGTATTTGTCTTTCTCTGTCTCATTTCACTTAGAATAATGCCCTCAAGGTCCAGCCATATTGTCACAAATGGCAAGATTTCATTCTTTTTATGGCTGAATAATATTCCATTATATACACACACCATAATTTCTTTACTCATTCACGTATCCATAGACATGTAAGTTGCTGCTGTATCTTGGCTTTTCTAAGTAATGCTGCAATGAACATGGGGTGCATATGTCTTTTCAAATTAGTGATATTTCCTCTGTATACATTTAGAACCACATTAGTGTTATAATTTTTGTTTTCAACCATCAAACATAATCCAGAAAACTCTTGATAAAAGGAAAGCCTATTGTATTTATCTATATGTATTTGCTATATCTGTTCTTTCTGATGTTCCAAAATTCCTTTTATTCCCTTTCTGTTTAGAGAACTTCCTTTAGCCATTCTTTTAGGTTAGGTCTGTTTGTGACAAATTCTCATTTCCTTTATTATTCCTTATTTATTCATTTTCGTTGAGAATATCTTGATTTCTTTTTCATTTCTGAAAAATATTTTCTCTGTGTATAGAATTCTGGGTTGACAGTTCTTTTCTTTCAGAACATGAAAAATGTTGTGCCACTTTCTTCTGGCCTCCATAGTTTCTTATGAGAAATCCACTATCTCGCTGTTTTTTCCCTTGTAGGTAAGGTGTCATTTCTGTCTCAAGACTTTTTTCTCTTAGTTTTCAAAAGTTTGAATATGATGTGTCTTGGCATAGATTTCTTTAGGATTATCCTGTTTAGGGCTTGCTCAGCTTCTTGAATCTGTACGCTATGTCTTTTGCTAAATTTGGGAAGTTTTTAACCATGTTCCTTCAGGTACCTTTTCAGTCCCACCTTATTTCTCTTCTCCTTCAAGGCCTCTTATGACATAAATGTGAGCTCTTTAGTTATATCCCACAGGTCCCTGAGGTTTTGTTCATTTTTTTTCCAGTTTATTATCTCTCCGTTGTTCAGATGGGGTAATTTGTATTGCTTTATTGCTTTGTATTGCTTTAAGTTCACTGATTATTTCTTCTGTCTTCTCTGTCTTCTCTTCTTTCTTCTGTCTTGATAGGCTTATCAAGCTTTTTGTTGCAGGTACTATAGTTTTGAGTTCTAAAATTTCTATTCTCTTCTTTATATCTTCTGTTTCCTTGCTGTGATCTCATTTGTTTCAAGCATGTTCATAATTGTTCAGGCATTTTCTTAATGTAAAATATACATATAATTTGCCATTTGAACCATTTTAAGTGTACAGTTCAGTGGATTAAGTACATTCATATCACTGTGCAACCATCCCCACCATTCATCTCCAGACCTTTTTCTTCTTTCCAAACTGAAACTCCATACTCTTTAAACAGTAACTCCCTAATCACCCATCTCCCCAGCTTTTGGCAACCACCATTTTATTTTCTCTCTTTATGAATTTGACTACTCATGGTACCCCATGTAAGTGGAATCATACAATATTTTTCCTTTTGTGTCTGGCTTATTTCCCTTAGCATAATGTCTTCAAGGCTCATCTATGTTGTAGCATGTGTCAGAATTCCATTGCTTCTTAAGGCTGAATAATGTTCCGTTGTTTGTATATATTACATTTTGTTTATCCATTCATCCATCAGTGGACATTTGGGTTATTTTCACCTTTTGGCTATTGTGAATAATGCCACTATGACCATGAATGCACAAATATCTGTTTGAGTTCCTGCTTTCAGTTATTTTGCTTATATACACAGAAGTGGAATTGCTAGATAATACAGTAATTCTATGCTTAATTTTTTGAGGAACCACTGTACTGTTTTCCACAGTGTCTGCACCATTTTACATTTCCACCAGAGGTGCACATGGGTTCCAGTTTCTACATCCTCGCTAATATTTGTTATTTGTTTTGATAATAGCCATCCTAATGGTTGTCAGGTGGTATCTTATTGTAGTTTTGATTTGCTTTCGCCTGATGATTAGTGATGTTGGGGATCTTTTCATTTGCTTATTGGCCATTTGTATATCTTATCTTCTTTGGTGATATGTTTAGTCAAGTGCTTTGCCCATTTTTTATTTGGGTTGTTTTTGGAAAAGTTCTCTATATGTTCTGTGTATTAAATGCTTATTGGATATATGATTTGCACGTATTTTCTCCTATTCCAAGGGTTGCCTTTTCACTGTTGTGTCCTTTGATACACAGTTTTTAATTTTGATAAAGTCCAGTTTATCTATTTCTCCTTTTGTTGCCTGTGCTTTTCATGCATATCCAAAAGATCATTACTAAACTTAATGTCATGAAGTCTTACCCCTATGTTTTCTTTCAGAATCTTACAGTTTTAGCTCTTATGTTCAGGTCTTTGATCTATTTTGAGTTAACTTTTGTATGTGATGTAAGGTAAGGGACCAACCTCATTTTTCTCCTGTGGATATTACCAGCACCATTTGTTGAAAAGACTGTCCTTTTGTCATTGAATGGTCTTGACACCCATGTTGAAAATTATTTGACCATATATGTGAGGGCTTATTTCTGGGCTTTCTGTTCTGTTCTGTTAATCTCTCTGTCTTTATATCAGCACCACACTGTTTTGATTATTGTAGCTTTGTAGTAAGTTTTGAAATTAGGAAGTGTAAGACCTCCAACTTTATTCTTTTTCAAGATTGTTTTAGATATCTGGAGTCCCTTGAGATTCCATCTGAATTTTAAAATGGATTTTTCTATTTCTGCTAAAAACGTTGGTTCTGGTTTCATTTTTTGTATTTTTTTAGCCTTTCCACTATGTTTATTTTTATTTTATTACGTTGTAATGAAACTGATTATTTTTATTATTAGTTTTACCATTATAGTCTATTAGTGAATGTTTTATTTATTTTTTAAAATTTTAATTTTATATTGGAGTATAGTTAACAATGTTGTGTTAGTTTCAGGTGTACAGCAGTGTGATTCAGTTATACATGTACATGTATCTATTCTTTTTCAAAATTTTTTCCCATTTAGATTATTACAGGGTATTGAGCAGAGTTCCCTGTGCTGCACGCTAGGTCCTTGTTGGTTATCTATTTTATATATAGTTGTGTGTATATGTCAATCCCAAGCTCCCAATCTGTCCCACCCCCGCCTCCACCCCTGGTAACCAAAAGTTCATTCTCTAAGTCTGTGAGTCTGTTTCTGTTTTGTAAATAAGTTCATTTGTATCTTTTTTTCCTTTAGATTCTGCATATAAGCAATATCATATGATATTTGTCTTTCTCTGTCTTATTTCACTTAGTATAATCTTCAGTCCATCCATATTGCTGCAAATGGCATTATTTCATTCTTCTTAATGGCTGAGTAATATTCCACTATATATATGTACCACATCTTCTTTATCCATTCATCTGTCAGTGGACATTTAGGTTGTGCTACGTCTTGGCCATTGTAAACAGTGCTGTGGTGAACATCGGGGTGCGTGTATCTTTTCGGACCATGTTTTTCTCCAGATATATGCCCAGGACTGGGATTACTGGATCATATGGTAGGTCTGTGTTTAGTTTCTTAAGGAACCTCCATACTGTTCTCCATACTGGCTATACAAATATACGTTCCCACCAACAGTGTAGGAGGGTTCCCTTGTCTCCACACCCTCTCCAGCATTTATTGTTTGTAGACTTTTTGATGATGGCCATTCTGACTGGTGTGAGGTAGAATCTTATTGCGGTTTTGATTTCATTTCTCTAATAATTAGCGATGTTAAGCATCTTTTCATGTGCCACTTGGTCATCTATATATCTTCTTTGGAGAAGTGTCTATTTAGATCTTCTGCCCATTTTTTGATTGGGTTGGTTTTTTTTTTCTGATATTGAGCTACATGAGCTCTTCGTAAATTTTGGAGACTAATCCTTTGTCAGTCGCATCATTTGCAAGTATTTTCTCCCATTCTGTGGGTTGTCTTTTCACTTTGTTTATGGTTTCCTTTGCTGTGCAAAAGCTTTTGAGTTTAATTAGGTCCAATTTGTTTATTTTTGTTTTTATTTCCATTACTCTGGGATATGGGTTGAAAAAGATATTGCTGTGATTTATGTCATAGAGTGTTCTGCCTATGTTTTCCTCGAAGAGTTTTATAGTATCCAGTCTTACATTTAGGTCTTTAATCCATTTTGAATTTATTTTTGTGTATGGTGTTAAAGGATGTTCTAATTTCATTTTTTTTACATGTAGCTGTCCAGTTTTATCAGCACCATTTATTGAAGAGACTGTCTTTTCTCCATTGTATAGTGTTGCCTCCTTTGTCATAGATTAATTGACCATACATGTGTGTGTTTATTTCTGGGCTTTCTATCCTGTTCCATTGATCTATATTTCTGTTTTTGTCCCAGTACCATACTGTTTTGATGACTGTAGCTTTGTGGTATAGTCCGACGTCAGGGCGCCTGATTCCTCCAGCTCCGTTTTTACTTCTCAGGATTGCTTTGGGTATTTGGGGGTTTTTGTGTCTCCATACAGATTTTTAGATTTTTTGTTCTAGTTCTGTGAAAAATGCCATTGGTAATTCGATAGGGATTGCATTGAATTTGTAGACCGCCTTGGGTAGTATCATCATTTTGACAATATTGATTATTCCAATCCAAGAACATTGTACAGTATATCTGTCCATCTGTTTGTGTCATCTTCAATTTATTTCATCAGTGTCTTATAGTTTTCAGAGTACAGGTCTTTTGCCTTCTTAGGTAAGTTTATTCCTATGTATTTTATTCTTTTTGATGAGATGGTAAATGGGACTGTTTCTTTCATTTCTCTTTCTGATCTTTTGTTGTTAATGTATAGAAATGCACCAGATTTCTGTGTATATTAATTTTGTATCCTGCAGCTTTACCGAATTCACTGATGAGCTCCTTGTCTTGTTCCTGATCTTAGAGGAAATGCTTTCAGCTTTTCACCATTGTTAGCTGTAGGTTTGTCATATATGGCCTTTATTATGCCCACTTTGTAGAGAGCTTTTATCATAAAAGGGTGTTGAATTTTGTCAAAAGCTTTTTTCTGCATCTATTGAGATGATCATATGGTTTTTATTCTTCTGCTTTTTGATGTGGTGTATCACAGTGATTGATTTGCATATATTGAAGAATCCTTGCATCCCTGGGATAAATCCCACTTGATCATGACGTGTGATCCTTTTAATGTATTGTTGGATTTGGTTTGCTAGTGTTTCGTTGACGATTTTTGCATCTCCGTTCATCAATGATATTGGCCTATAACTTTCTTTTTTTGTGGTACCTTTGTTTGGTTTTGGTATCAGGGTGATAGTAGCCTCATAGAATGAGTTTGGGATTGTTCCTTCCTCTGTGATTTTATTGGAATAGTTTCAGAAGGATAGGTGTTAGATCTTCTCTAAACGTTTGATAGAATTTGCCTGTGAAGCCATCTGGTCCAGGACTTTTGTTTGTTGGGAGTTTTTTAATCATAGCTTCCATTTCAGTACTTGTAACTGGTCTGTTCATATTTTCTGTTTCTTCCTGGTTCAGTCTTGGGAGATTGCACCTTTCTAAGAATTTGTCCATTTCTTTTGTGTTGTCCATTTTATTGGCATATAGTTGCTTGTAGTAGTCTCTTATGATCCTTTGATTTTCTGTGGTGTCCATTGTAACTTCTCCTTTTTCATTTCTAATTTTATTGATTTCAGCCCACTCCCCTGTTTTTTCTTGATGAGTCTGGCTAAAGGTTTATCAATTTTGTTTATCTTTTCAAAGAACCAGCTTTTAGTTTCCTTGATCTTTTTTATCATTTTCTTTGGCTCTATTACAGTTATTTCTGCTCTGATCTTTATGATTTCTTTCCTTCTACTAACTTTGGGTTTTGTTACTTCTTCTTTCTCTAGTTGCTTTAAGTGTAAGGTTAGGTTGTTTGTTTGAGATTTTTCTTATTTCCTGAGGTAAGATTGTATTGTTGTAAACTTCTTTCTTAGGACTGCTTTTGCTGTGTCCCATAGGTTTTGGACTGTTGTGTTTTCGTTGTCATTTGCCTCTAGGTATTTTATGATTTCCTCTTTGATTTCTTCAGTGATTCATTGGTTGTTTAGTGGCATATTGTTTAGCCTCCACATGTTGTGTTTTTTACAGTTTTTTCCTTGTAGTTAATTTCAAATCTCATAGCGTTTTGGTTAGAAAATTTGCTTGATAAGATTTCAATTTTCTTAAATTTACCAAGGCTCGCTTTGTGGCCCAACATGGGATCAGTCCTGGAGAATGTTCCATGTGCACTTGAGAAGACTGTGTATTCTGCTGCTTTTGGATGGAATGCTCTATAAATATCAATTAAGTCCATCTGGTCTGATGTGTCATTTAAGGCCTGTGTTTCCTTATTGGTTTTTCTGTCTGGATGCTCTGTCCATTGATGAAAGTGGGGTGTTAAGGTCCCCCACTATTATTGTGTTACTGTCAGTTTCTCCTTTTATGGCTGTTTGTTAGTATTTGCCTTTAAGGTGCTCCTGTGTTGGGTGCATATATATTTAAAATTGTTATATCTCCTTCTTGGATTGATCCCTTGATCATTAATTACATAGTGTCCTTCTTTGTCTCTTGTAACAGTCTTTATTTTGAAGTCTATTTTGTCTGATATGAGTATTGCTACTCCAGCTGGTTCTGGTTTTATACCTCAGTTTTATCAAAATAAACACATCAGTTTGAGGGATGCTAATTACATTAAACTTACCGGACTTAAGAGGAATCCTGTATTTTACTGTAACTGAAGTTAAATAGAGCAAGAAAACCAGAAAGAGGAAGATATAGTAGGCTCCTTTTTAGATTTCCTATCACAGAAATTTGTGGAAAGGATGTGAGGTAATAACCTTTTTGTTTGCCACAAAATTAATTTGAAACAGATCTAAGATTTTTCAGTAAGTATTGGACTTCATATTTGAACTGATGATAGGGTTAAGTTAGGAGTGTATAACTGAACCTTGAAATCATACAATGAGCTGTGTTTTAATTATAACTCATTATTTTAATCAACCTTTGACTGTAGAACTTGACATATGATTTATTTTTATAAAGGGTTTCTGATTTTTTTATTCTAACATCCCTAAAAAAGACATTTCTAGGCTACTGCTGTGTCTTTTTCCAGAATTGTTTCTAGTTTTATAACTCGGTATCATTTAAATGAGCATTTTGGGTATATGTTTTAGGTCGAGTGTATAGTAAGAAAGATTAGAACAACCTAATAGAAGCATACCTGGTGCCTTGTTTTTGTCTTCCAGAATCTCTACACAAGGAAGTACAGGATTTGGCCTTTCTAGATGTTGTATCCAAACTTCGCAGTCATGAGAACAAAAGTGTTGCTCAACAGGCTTCTCTCACAGAGCAGAGACTTGCTGTGGAAAGCTGAGAACTACCCCTCCCTGATACACCCCTCATTTCCCCTTTGTCCTCCATCCAGCTGCCTCTTCTGCTTCATTCTCTTCCATATCACTTGTGCATGCGTGTAATGTTCCAATGCCAATTGAAGAACTGCTGTAGGTACCTTCCCACTAAGATTTCTAAACCCATAGTTAGTTAGTTAGTGTGAACATGAATTTGTCAAAAACAAGTCTCCACCCCATAACTGTTTCCTTGTATTCCTGTTGCTTGAGCTACATTAAGTAGAATGTGCATGTTGTAGTCCTATGATGATGACGTAAACTTGGTACTACACAATGACTTGCTCCTTGTCCTTGGTAGACTACATAATAATGTACTGGTAAATTAATTAGAAACAAATGAGAATGCAGCAGGATCTGACTAGCTTATGAAAGATGGAACTGAATAGTAAAAATAGCTCCATTTCTTGGTGCTTGGAAAGCACAGTGACCAAAACACCTGTATGGCTGCTTATTCATTAGTCTTACCTGCTAATGTCAAACCCATGGTACCTAGAGTTAAATAAAGTCCAATGCTCTCGCTCTTTACCCTCTGGTTTCTTCTTCTTCCTTTGTAGACTCTTGAAACTGCCACAAACTTGGCAAGACTTTCTAAGGTTTTCTATGTCATATTTAACTGGCCGTCATCCGTAGCCTGATGCTGAAAACATTTGTAGTTTTCAGCATGAAACTAAGGGGTTGAAGAATAGTACACTAGTACATCTTGTTTTTTGCCTGTATTTTAGATTCTGATATATGTACAGTTTCACCTCAGAATTTCTTCTGTCAGTTAATCAACATTGTTCACCACATCTCTTTAAAAGTCACTTGGCATTTGTTTTCAACTGAGAAAGTTGAGTACAGCTCTTTAGAAAATGGATTTTTTTTTTCCTGTTTTTCACCATTCAGCTTGAAAGCAAGAAGTTTCCTTGGTCTTTTAACCCTTTTAAATTTTATATGAGAACTAGCAGGGCATATGAAAAAAGATTAAGAAGTGTTTGTCTAGAGTAAAGAAAGGAAGGTCATAAAAGCCATAGTAGCCAGTCCAGTTCATTCTGCACATGGCCTCATCCCAGTAGCTGTTAGAGTTTCCCACCTCCACTTTCCACAGAGAACTGCAGTGGATCTTAAAGCCTATCGGAAAGTGACAGTGCCAAGTGCCAAGACTGAAGAGGTCAGAAGCCCCCGTGGCAGAATGTAGTACACTCTTCACTGCTACCACCACACCAAACGGGTCTTAGAGCTTTGAAACACATGAACATCCCTGTGACATACCTGCCTTCTCCGAATGCCCGTGTTTGACAAATACTGGCTGAAAGGTAAGGTGGGCTCCTTGCTCTCCAGAATTGATGCTGCGCATCTCTATGGGGTGATCGAAGTTGGACTTCTGACTCTGAAATAGCTGTAATTCGAGAAAGTTAAAACCCCAGTGGAGGTAAAGAACTTTTTGAGTGACTGTTCCCTCTGATGTCCAAGCAAAGGACGGTTATTGTGAGCGCTTTTGCTACATTTACTGTAAGAACGATCTGGTTCATTGTCTTCTCCTGGGCTGGATAGTGGACTATATTTTATTTTAGATTTTGAAAGACATCTGTAATGTTGCATAATAGGCTGTCCATATTAATAACTAAATAAACAGTATATAAACTGTAATGACATCATTTGGTTTATTTGTATATTTTACTTCTATTTCCAGCTCCTAGAACAGTGCCTGCTCATTGTTGGTGCTCAGTAAGTATTTGTTGAATGAATCCCTACTTCCATGAAACTTCCAGAGTGCCTGAACTATTTCTAGATAGATTGATAGAGAAATTGAGATGTAGGTATTTGTCTGACTTCAGAGAATTTTCCTTTTTTGATAGTAAGATCTGTCTGTATTGAAAAGCATTATATAGAAAACTTCGGAACAGAAGCGTCCAAAAAGCACGGACTTGAGAGAAAAAAAAAAATACTGTCTGGGCCACAGCTGCCAGCAGTCAGTTTGCTGATATGCTAGGAGCTCTCATCTTCAGCAAAACAAAATGCAATTCAAATCACCAGTTGTTCTGCGGCGTGACCAGACCAGAGGCTGTGCCCTTATGATAACAGGGCTCCACCAAACTCGGTGATGTGCTGCTGTGCCAGGGCAGTGGGTGGGAGTCCACAGACAATACCATCCCTCTCCTACTACTTGGTCTTAGTTTTAGAGACCACCTTTACGTTAGTTTGCTACTCACTAAGAGTGCATTCTAAGGGAAAGATGGGAGGAGCCGCAAAACAAAACTTTCATTACCACTTTGTGCCAGGACTAGAGCATAGATGAAAAGCAAAAAGGCCAAAACTTAGAGGGAAGGAGATGTCTGAGCGAAATGCACTGGAATGTCCTCCCTTCCTCCCTCCCAGTCCCATTAGCTCCTTGGAATCTTGCTAACCACCCACCCAGAGTGTAACTTCACGGTGCTCAAAGCAAAATTGATTAAATACTGGCCCATAATCCTGTGTCTTCCTTGATAAAACATGCTTTGAGCATACTATCTGATAACAGTGGAGATGTGGAACAAAATTTTTCAGTTCTAATACAATTTCCTCTTGGGTGGAACAGAATGCTCTCAGATATGAGCATTAGGGTGAAGTGTTCTGAGAAACCCCTGCATGTGAAGATTTCAAAAAGAAATACTCCTTGGTATCATTAGAAGGCTTATTATCTAATTCTGTTGAACATAAGGGGTGAAGATGTCTATTACTCAGGTAAGCATTATCCTTTGTATCCAGCTGTTACTATAATCAATAAGCTTAAAAGACACTTCTTAACTCTAGGAAGCCATACATTTGAATCATACAAGTGTCTATTAAAAAGCACTTAATGAGGGGTTTCCCTGGTGGC